AAGATGTAAATTTTGTGGGCAATTTAGAACAATATTTGGTTATGATTAATCAGTTTAATTGTTATATTTCAAGGTTAAACTATGTAAATTTTCATCGCTATGCGATCTTGATTGAAGTTAGTCATTTGATTAGAATTGCGGAAGAATTTCATTCCTCAATTTGAAGTTAGTTTGGTGTACAGACAAATAGTTGGGTATGTTTTAAATTTAATTGGATTATTTGTTGTTATTTTGATTATCCATGTTGTTTTGTTTTAATGGTTGAATATAAACTATTTGGAAATTAATTTTTTATTTTTATTTTTTTACGTTCTGTTTGCTGAAGTATCTTTGTGGTGTTTTCAATATCATTTTATGGTTAAAGCCTAATAGATGTATCATCTATATGTTGATTTGGGTTTTTTTGAAAGCATTTATACTACGTAATTTTTTTTTTTCCTTCGATTAAACTAAACTGTTAGAAAATTTGGGGCTTTAAGTATTTTATTGTTAATTCTATTTTTATTCTCAGTTGTTTAATTATTAAGCATATGTGTAATTGAAGAACAACATGGGCTTTAATAAGTTTATTTTAATATTGCCAACAATGAAATTATGAATTTTATGTGTATTCCCGTAATTGGAAGTTAAAAGTCTTGATACTCGCATAGTTGTCATGTGCTTGTCGGGCTGAAAACAATCTATATAGTCTTAATTTAATTATTAAGATATATTGAAGTTCATTTAATTCAAAGATGCTTTGTAATTTTTTTGCGATAGGACCTCTTTGAGTTAAATAAGATGTGTGTGGTGATTTGTTAATATATATATTATTTTTTTTAATTATTATTATTATTATTATTATTATATTTTTGAAAGAGGGAGTGGTGTTAAAGTTTATTTAGAGCATGTTTTATAATCTCTATATCAAGATTCTTATAACAATACGATGAATTTCCTTTGGTCTCGATCACGTTTTATAAACTTATAAATACAATGCAATTTGTATCTATAAATTTTCATATGATGTAATACATTTTATTTCACTTTACTACTACAGATTGTATGATACAATTTGTATTTTTAATTCTTATATATGTATATGATGCTGTTAGAATATATTGATAAGCATCAATATATTCTGTTAGTGTATACTTTGTATTAGTTAATTGTATATGATTGTATTTGATCTTCCCTTAATTGTAGAAAGTTAGGTCCGTCCTACTTTATAGCCTTAGTATACGTGATTACAGTGTATATATTGCCTATTGATAGGCTCATAATATTCAAGGAATTACCTTCTTTCATGGTATCAGTTTTCAGGGAAAGCTCCTAACCTTTCTATATGTACAATGCTATTTAATTTTTTGCCTTAAATTTAATCCAAGCTATATATAATCTAAACATGCAATATAATAAGCCTTCAATTACTGAAAAAAGAAAATTAATGAAAAATGTAACCCGTGCATCGAATGGGCTAAATACTAGTTTATTTTATAATCTATAATCAACATTATTGTATAGATTAAGGATTAGTAGCACAATTTCTCTTCAATCTCTACCTTATGTAACTGGAGTGTTTGTTTTGAAATCTGTGTACTCCATATCATATTATCTTGTCCACTTTTCTTTGTATTGTAACACAAATTGGCAAAATTCACAAGACTAAAATTCACAAGAGTACTCTTCCTAATTCCAATGCATGATTCCTATAACCTCATATGCACTCATTGATCATTTCTCACAAACATCTAACACTGAACAGCTTTGCAAGGAGAGTTAAGATGTATACATTTGAAATTTTGAATAATCTTGTGTTCATATCATGAAGGTCAAGTGAGTTAAAATTATATTCCTACTTCGTCTACAAAAGTGAGTTATAAATTTTATAATGATGTAATGTTACACCCACTTGAAAAATTTGCTAAATTTGTTTGAATGCAGAGGTGACAATCATGTATTTTAAGATAGAGTTAAAGTTGTGTTATGTTTAGATTAAGAATAATTTGAATTGATTTTGGGTTCAAGTCGGATCACTTTCAAATCTATTGATCATAGACTTATTTATGATAACATGAATATTAATTTATTATTAGTCACATTGATTGTCGAGCCAGCTTGTTTAGGTCCAATTTGTGTTAAAGTTTATGATTCAGTTTAAAAAATCAAGTCGGGTCAGTTTTATCAGGTCTATTAATTATAATTTAAAATTCACGCCCAATTCTTTACAACTCTTTTCATTACCTAGCTACATATCATTCCATTTTGTTCGATTGTAAGAAAGAGAGAAAAAATTGTATAGTTATTAGTTATTACACTCCCACTCTAAAAGATCTCATGCTTATTTAGCACCACTAAAGATTAAATGGTATTTCACCTTCAATCTTGGCCAAACTCTCTCTTTTAGAAAACTCAATTTAAATGAGAATATGGCTTACTGTAAGACATTTTTCATCTTTTTCAACACCCAATCTCTCTTCTTCAAAACTCACTCATCTTCTCCAGGTTTGCAGCAACTCAAGAGCATTAGCTCAAGCCAAACAAACCCACCTGCAAATCATACAACATGGGCTTCATCATGAACCTTATATTACCACTAAATTGGTTCAAACGTATGCAGAATGTGATCATCTGGGGTATGCCCAGAAGCTGTTCGATAAATTGCCTGAACCAAATGTATTTGCTTGGACTGCTCTCCTTGCATTTTACTCAAGAAATGGACTTTTTGTTGAGTGTTTGCAGGTCTATGGTGCAATGAGATTCATGGGTGTGTTGCCTGATCAGTATGTTATTCCTAAGATTTTAAGGGCATGTGCTCAATTGTCAAAACTTAAAACAGGGGCTATGATTCATAAGGAGGTGGTTGTATGTGGAGTTGAGTTAAATTTGCAGGTTTGTAGTTCATTGATTGACATGTACTCGAAATGTGGGGAGGTTGATAGTGCTAGGCGGGTTTTCGATAACTTGGCGGTAAGAGATTTGCTGTCTTGGAATGCAATGCTCTCTGGTTATGTGGCCAATGGGTTTCTAGAGTTAGCATTGGAGTTATATGGGTCAATGAGAATAATGGGTGTTGAACCTGATTTAGTCACATTGAATTCTGTAATGGATGCTTATTGTCGAATGGGTTTATGTGATGAAGCTCTCGAGGTTTTTAGGCAGATTGCACGGCCGAGTGTTGTCTCTTGGACAACATTAATGTCTGGCTATTCAAGGATTGGAAATCATGAGGCATCACTGAGCATGTTTAGAGATATGGTGAACTTTATGGTGGATATACCTGACTTAGATTCTTTGTCTAGTGCAATGGTATCGTGTCGGCATTTAAGGGCTCTAAGAAATGGCCAAGAAATTCATGCCTATGGAATGAAAACTCACTCTCGTTCCCTATTCTATACGTCCTGTGGACCTGCATTGTTAACGATGTACTCTAAGTGCAGTCGAGTTCATGATATGAGAAATGTGTTTGAGTTGATGGACAAATCTGACGTAGTCACTTGGAATGCGATGATACTTGGCCTGGTTGATCTTGCAATGGGACATTCAGCACTTGAAACCTTCAGTATGATGCAAAATGTTGGCGTCAAGAATGACCAGACCACGATATCAACAATCTTGCCCATTTGTGATCTGAAGCCTGGCAAACAGATTCATGCCTGCATTCTTAGGAATAACTTAGGTTCAGTGGTTCCTGTTTTGAATGCTTTGATCAGCATGTACTGTAAATGCGGATCCATACATTCTGCTAAACTCATATTCTCCAACATGACCATTAAAGATTTAGTTACATGGAACACGATTATTGGAGGGTTTGCAATGCACGGAATAGGAGAGGCTGCTCTTCAAATACTTAATGAAATGATATTTTCCGGTCTTTCCCCTAACTCTGTAACCTTAACGTCAGTTCTGTCAGCTTGTAATCACTCTGGTCTTATTAATGAAGGGCTTGAGGCCTTTTATGGCATGAGTAGAGACTTTGGCTTGGTTCCTAAAATGGAGCATTTCGCTTGTCTTGTTGATATGCTAGCTCGTGCTGGTCAGCTCAACGAGGCCCTTGATATTGTCATGAAAATGCCTATAATGCCTGGCAAGCATATATGGGGGACTCTTTTAGCTGCTGGTCAAGTGCAACAGAATCTGGAGGTTGCTAAGTTGGCTGCGGAAAATCTTGTTAGCTTAGAACCCGAAAATGCTGGACATTACGTAACACTGTCGAATATATACACAGATGATGGAAGATGGGATGATGCAATGAAGGTAAGAAGGTTGATGGAAAGTAGAGGATTGATGAAAGCAAAAGGAAGTAGTTGGATTGAAGGAGAAAACTGAGGATATATTTTGCAGACATATTGAGTTTTTATTTGTCACAAAATATGCTGTCACGTTTTCTGTGAGTTATGCAGCAAAATTTGCTACAAAATTATGTTTTATCAAATAATTTAGCATAAGTTGAATACAGTATAAAATTTCCCAGGACACTTTTAACCGTTATCTAGGCTAAAGCACTTAGTAGGACTGTAGTGTAGGATAATTAAGGCATTAATTGGAGAGAACAATAAATGATGAGATAATTTTTCAACCTTTACCATGTGAGGGTAGTTAAATAATATTATTGATTTGTGTAGTCTATAAACCGTAAGCGGTGTAGAGTAGCAACGATCTTACTCCGAGCCAGGTTTCCAAAAAAAAAGAAAAAAAAAAAAAAAACCTTACTCTGAGGTCCGACCGTCCAAGCCACCGGATCATATAGTACTCACAAGCTTAACGTGCACTCTAAATCAAATTCTTATTTTAAATCTCACAATAGAAAGCCTAAATTTAACTCTCTTTAGTTAGATTTTGTCAAATTCCACTATAAAAGCACAATTTTATAAATTCAATACCATTTTCTAACGATATGTTAAATATTTTCCGATATCACGAAAGGAGTTAAAATAAATTTATAGAGTATTAGAGTGTTAAATTTCGATACCAAGAGTCCAAATCAATTTATATAATGTCAAAATTTTCCTATATCATAACAGAAGTCCAAATTAATTCATACAAAAATTTCCGATATCATAACAGGAGTCAAAATCAATTCATAGAGTGTAAAAATTTTCACATACCATGAGGTTCATGACAGGAGTAAAAATCCATTCGTGTCAAATCCCATTACGATCACAAACACTGTTACAGTCGCCGACTTATCTCATTCCTCCCAAAAAGAGAAAAAGAAAAAAAATCCCTCTCTATCTTCTTCCTCTCTCTCTGGTAACTTCTCTTCTATCACAATCTGGAAAATCAAACACAGACGCCATGAATTCATCGCCATTAAACTGGGAAGCTTTGGATTCTCTCGTCATCGAGTTCGCCAAATCCGAAAACCTCTTCTTCGACAACGAAGACTCTTCTACTCTCTCTCCTCCTTCTTCTCCTTCTTCCTCCTCTCTCTCTCCTCCACCTCCTTCTTCATCGTCATCTTCATCTGAGTCGTATCGATCACGCCTCCTGATTCGTCGGATTCGCCGCCTGTTAGAGTCTGGTGATATTGACTCCGCTTTGGATCTCCTTCGTCTTCATACTCCTTCCATATTACATGATCTTCGCCTTCTTTTTTGCCTTCAAAAGCAGGTTTCATTATTATTCCTTTTTTTTTGTTTTAATTTGTAATTTCTCAAATAATTAGGTTATTGCTGGAATTTTTGATTGATTTTGATTTTTGTTTTTCAATTTGAAGAAATTTATTGAGTTGTTGAGAAGAGGAACTCCAGAGGATCGTGTTTCTGCTATTGAATGCTTGCGCACTTCTCTCGCTCCTTGCGCACTTGATGCTTATCCTGTATGAACCGCATTATATTTATTTTAATAATTTTTTATTAATTTTTATTTTGCTGTGAATTTATTGACGGTGAGATTGTTTGTTGTTTTGAAGGAAGCATATGAGGAGTTTAAACATATTCTTCTAGCCCTAATTTATGATAAAGATGACACCAATTCGCCTATTTCTAGTGAGGTACTTTAGCTCATCATTTCTTAGTACTCCGTATTGATTAATGTAGTCGATTATCAGTCTGTAATGTTAATTAATATAGTTGATTTTTTTTGCAATATATTTTCTGGTATTGTTTAGTTCAACAATTGTTTTCTATATTGAATTTGGTGAATATTTGCACTCTGATTTTTCCAATCTTCTTAATATTTATGTGATTAGTAACAGTAAGTTAGAGGAAGTGATGAGGGGGGTGCTTTTGATAAATTTCCTTTTAGTTTTAGAAAATATGAACTGTGGTAAGTGATTGGAAGCTAAGTAACATTAAATACGGAGTAGTTTGAGAATGATGCCACGAGTTTATAGAAGTTAATGTGTAGTTCGAGCTAAGCATTCTGTACTAAGAGACACTTCATTATGCACTAGCTTGAGAGTAAGAGTTTTTGTCCTTAGTCCTCATTTCAGATATAAAAAAGGCTCGGGGTTTGTATATATCGTTAGTATTTTAACCAAAAAAAATAAATTTCCGTATTAAGATTGTTAGTGGCCAATGGGTAAGTGGGTAGTAACATTGATATGAAAAACTCTACATATTGCATTAGAATATACTTCATATCAATCTTGAGATACACCATGTATATCAGTATATGCAAAGCCAAGCAGAGCTACAATGTTTTACCGTTTTTTTTAAAAAATTCACCATGTTCCTGTTCCTGTACCTGTGACACTTACACAGATAACTTGTGTCCCAAAAGTTGAGCATGTGAGTCAAACTATCAGATTCGATTAGTGTGGGGAACCTGTATATTTATTTTAGGACAGGAGGAGCAAGGAAACGAGTACAAGACAAGTGGATAAATTTATGAAATAGGTTAAGCTTGATATAATTGGTATGAGGAGTGGAAGTTGTCGAAGCACACACAATGGAAGCTTTGTCAATGAGGTTTCTATCCTGGTCTATGTTGGCTATTGAAATAGCCCTTAACATGGTTAAACGACAAAAGTTTGTCAGTTTATCTGACTTGTTGATGTTTGAACCAATGATGAGGTTTGTAAAGCTTGCCTAGGGAGTAGTAATGATCATTCAAAGTATGCATGAATATTTCCCATTGAACATATTTGAGTGGCTTTGATTATGATAAGATGTTGCAGGGTTGTGGATGCATCTGGAGGGTAATACTCGTAATAGGCTTATAGCACAGCTTTCACATGTAAATTGTCAATTTGGAATGGCCATTTTCATCTGGTGATTTATTTTTTTAACCTTTCGAAAATTTCTTGAAAGTTTTACTTTGCAGCACCTTATCTTATTATTGTGTGGAGGCATGAAAGATTCTAAATCTTATATAGACTAAAAAATGAAATTTAAATTTCTTAAATGTGAATTTTAGATTTATGCTATATAGTACCACAAGTAGCTTCTGCATGTCGTGGCAATTTGTCTTGTTATTGTGTCGTGGAATGGCTTTAATTAATTCCAAAAAATTTACTTCAGGATCTGGCTTCTGGTTATTTTTTGAAACTGTGTTCGCTTTGTATATGTTTAATTATTTTTGTCGGATTACTATGCTCCATTTTTTTATTTTTTTTTATTTATTTATTTTTAACATTTGGTACTCTTTTCAACTTTCTCTCATACGGAATCTTGCTCACTATATTTCTTTCCGTATTTATGCTCACCGTCCTCCAGCTAATTTGTTATTGCATCACGAAGATCAATCTGCCCATTTTCTCCTAGCATAGAACCAATAAGAAAATGAGCAACTCCGTAATTTTTCTCAGAAGCTCATGCAATTTACTATTCAGGGTTCTGGACCCTTCAGCCCCTACTTACCATATTGGGTTGAATTGACATGTAATTCTGTTTTTTCTGAGATAATTTATTTCATAAAAAAGCTTTAGGTTTCTACTTTTTTCTAAGTCAAGTTCTTGTTCATCTTGTAACACATGCATAATAGTCCTTGTCTTGGCATTCTGTGCTGCAGTGGTCTGAAAGACGAAGATTTGAAATTGCTGGATTGATGTCCTCTATTCTGAGGGCACACCTTCAGGCGCATGATCCCTTGTTCTCAATGACATTGAGATATCTCATAAGGTTTTTCTCCCTTCCCATCCTTTTCTGGTTCTTTTACATTGATTTTTTGTGCTCTCATAAAAAATAGCAATGAATACATTAATTGTTTGTGTCTGTTGCTAATATTCTTGGTCCTTTCATAATAATTGAGATCAGCTTACACAAGGAGTTCTGTCTTCGTCAAGGAGTCCCCTCACCAATCTCGGACCTGACTGAAAGGTTGCTTCTTGAGGAAAGAGATGCCCCAGCAACACTTCAAGAGTTGGCTTCTGGAGTGCCTATATTACAGGAAGTGAGATTCTCAAGCTATTATTCCTATTGCTGTGTGCTGAATGAAGTGATGACGTGGTTATTTGGTTTAAAAATACACTGAAACTAAAAGGATATTTGATGAAACACCTTCAATAATAATTGGTTTGCCTTGTTGCATCTTTCATTTCAGGAGGACATACAAGCCCTAGCTCATGCTGTTCAGCTTACCAGACAGGGGGCAGTTGAAAGCTTGAAATTCACAAAGGGTGACTTAGTTCAGGCATTAAAGGTTATCATAAATCATTAGCTTTACTTCTTTAAAAAAAAAGAAAAAAAAAAAAAAAAACTCATTAGCCTTTACTCTCTCTGTACATATTCTGTTCTTATGTTTGATTTGTTTACATTAAATGGCGTTCGTTTTTTTCCTGTTATCTTTAGGATTAGGTCTGAGGGATCTCATCTTTAACTTTCAACTGTATGACCATGTATATACCATGTTATAAGAACTGTTATGATATGATTGTTGTGAATTCACTTTATGAAATTGCTTGATCTAACTTTTCTCTTAGCTTCAGAATTTATAGCCTTTTGCCCTTTTGCACTATCGTTCAAAAAGTTGTATTTTTATACCACATATTTACATTATTGGAAATATTGCTTGTTCATTTCTTAACAATAATGAAGACATCTACCCTTCAGACCTGCTATAGAATTTTCTGTTCATGTCCAAACAAGTTATGTAATAGGGGAAAGTAGCATGGTGGTTAGGCATGGTGATCCATTCTTCAGTTTTTCATTAGTAAATTTGTCTTCAATATGTTGTATTATAAATGGCTTTGCATGTTATATCATGCTGATTTGTACGATAGTTGAAGTTATGATGTATAATCAGCATATATTTAGCTAAGTACTATATTTATTTATTTATTTATTTTTATGTAGAATGAATTATGCCGCATGAGATTAAATGAATCTATTCTAGACGAGCTCGTCCGCGAATATTGTGTTTACAGGGGTATTGTTGCTCCTGGTGTGCCTTCCTCTGGTATGCTCACTCTTTACAATATTTCAGTTTCTCCTCCCTACTTTCAAATGTAAATATCTTTATACACATTTCCATTTTTTCCCATCCTCTTTTCTTGGGCAGGATCTACATTGTCGGTTGACACTGGTCATTTGAAAGCTAATCAACTAAATGCTACTGGTTTGTCATTAGATGGTTCCCATGATCTGGATTGCGGAAATAGTAAAAGTTCAGATGATGGATCTTCCATTGTTAATGCTCATGTTGATGGTGCTGAAATAAGCACAGTCATGATTAGGATGCAAGATACTGATGTGGAGATGCGATTCCCTTGTGAGAGTACAAGTAACCATGATGATTGTAGCACTAGCAGCACTCATCAAACTAAGAACTTGAAGGTTTGCCAGAGAAATAAAAGTCATGCAGTTGGCGATGGGAGAAGACGAAAAAGATGGAGGGAAAGAAATGACGATCCTTATTTTCCTGCTGGCATACTGTCTAATGAGAGCAATAAGCGCGAGGTTAGTAAAGTCCTTTTGAAGGAGATATGAACACATCTTTGGTAGCTATGCCTATTCCTGTAGCTAATTATAAAGTGATGATATTGTAGGGCTCTGAAAAATATAGCCCTTTTGACTCTACCTATAAGGAGGATAGATGTGAGACTGTTTTGAGCATTAAAGATTTAGCTGATCGAGGTATGGCCGCTGAGGTTGTCGAAGAAGTGGAAGCGTTGGACCCTGAATTTTTTGGGCATAATTCTTTGTTGCTTTTCCAACTGAAGCAGGTAATGATACTTTTTTTTTTCTCATGAATGTGCTGTTGATGCCAAAGCTTTCATTCTTCTAGAGAGATTACTCACTTGGCTTCTTGCTGTATTCAGGTTGAGTTTCTGAAACTGGTTGATTCTGGAGATTATTCTGGTGCTCTGAAGGTTGCTTGTTCCCATTTGGGGCCTTTAGCAGCCAACAATCATGACTTGCTAAAACCCTTGAAAGAGACACTATTAGCTTTGCTCAGGCCTAATGAAGTTGATTTCAAGAGAGATTTACCATTGCATGCTTTGGCTAGTTCACTTCAGGTGGATGCACTTTTTATTTATTTATTGTATTAATAAACTAGTTTTTAGCTTGGCGAGTGGTCAATTTTAAATTAATACAAAGTAAAATTTTTTGAGTAGATAAAGGTGACCTACTGACCTTATATACGTCCTCTGTTTTCTTAATATTGCAGTAGTTTGGCCGGTTCACTTCAGGTGGATGCACTTTTTATTTATTTATTGTATTAATAAACTAGTTTTTAGTTTGGCGATTGGTCAATTTTAAATTAATACAAAGTATAAATTTTTGAGTAGATAAAGGTGACCTACTGACCTTATATACGTCCTCTGTTTTCTTAATATTGCAGTAGTTTGGCCAGTGCTTTTGTCAATGCACATCTTTGGTCATTAATTGAGCTGTCATTTGGGTCATAATTGGAACTTCTGACTGATTATTTATTGCTAACATTCTTACTTCATCTGCAAATCTAAAAATTTAAATTCCAATCTTGTAAAGATTTGGTTTAGAGCTTTGGAAGATTCGAAATTATAATTTATTTCATTGAGACATGCACTGATGTAAGACTGATGTTTCAATGTAGGTTGCAATTGGTAGGAGGCTTGGCATTGAAGAACCACAGCTTATGAAAGTTATGCAAGCAACCCTGCATACACATACTGAGTGGTTTAATCTTCAAATGTGCAAAGACCGCTTTGAATCATTTTTGAAGATTGATGCCTTGAAAGAAGTCAATAGTCTGTTGCTGGCTGATACTGTTTCTAAATCCCATTTATGTGCACATACTTATGGATCTTCCCAAGTTACAGTTTCGTCTAGTAGTGCGATCCCGGAAGATAGTAACAGTCCAACTCAAGTGTCATCCCGAGAAGTTTGCGATGAAGGTGCCATCCTCAAAGTTATGGTGAGTCATAATTCCTGCTGTAAGAAATTAAAGTACTTTTGGTATGCATTCATATTTGCATCATTTCATTGTACCTGTAATTCAGCTGTGTCTGATTCACCCATTAGGTGTTGCATGGTGTACGAGTAGTTTATAATCAATATTCCAATTTTTATGCAGGAATTTCTTGCTCTCCCAAGGGCTGATGCCATCCATTTGTTGGCACAATGTAATGGAAATGCTGAGACTGCTATACAACAAATATTCGGAGAAAGTTGATGAGAGTTATGACCATCAGTGTGACATCAACGGTATTTATTTGTTGCTTGCAGCACTGGTGGTTTCTTGAGTTTGCATCTGGTAGATACACGGCGGTTTCTTCTGTATATCCCTACCCTTGTTGGGTTTTTTTAAAATTATTTATTCGTTCCTACAATTCTTTCATGTCCATATACCGCTCTACTTGAACCATTATTTGTAGTCTTGACAGATTTGATTAAATTGGTTAGCAATATCATAATATCGGGTTGCTGGAAATCAAAGGATGCCTAGCTTTGGTAACTTCTCTATTTGTCTCCCCAATTTCGTCAAACTCTGGCTTCTCTGTGTGGTATTTTATTATTTCCGTGTTTTCAGTAAACATCACATGGTATGAAACTTTGTTACTTCTGGGTTCATTGTGACAATATGACCCAAAGGGTGTTCAAAGTCATGTGGTGAGCCTTGTGTTAGCAAATGACACTTATCATTCATTTCTGCAACTTCTGATGGAAGCATAACTTGACAATGAGAGAAATTGAGGGTATGCTGCCTACATAAATCTCTGGTTGTCTAGGGATAGGAGGATAAAGAATCTATTCTAATTTTAATCAAATAAAAAGAATCTCCAATAAGGTAATTGTTTGTAGTCTCCCAGTTTTTCTTGTTCGCAAGGCAAGTATAATGCACCCGGTTTTATTTATGTTAGTATACCAAAATACATATGAATGTAATGAAAAAGACAAGGAAATACTTATATTCCGGGTTGCACTTAATTGAACTATGCACACAGGTATGAAATGCAGACCAAAATTATGGATATTGAATGCCTTCAGTGTATTAGTATTTCTTCCATCAGATGGAGGCTTTGCCCAAGCGATATTTTCTTTCGTCTGAGAGCTGTTTTGCCAACCTGTTTTTGGATTATTGAGTGATTAGGACACTCATCTTGTAGAATAGAGAGTTTTATTTTCATTGACAATTCATAAGTAGTTGTACTTCAGGTATTAGAGGAACCAACTTTGGAGAGCAGCTGCATTGGTGCCCAGGTGTGGAACTGCTTTGAGTTGTCCAGTTTCCGGATCTACCCGGCTGGCTGGTTTGCGGAGTAACTCTTGAGCAATTTTCACAAGATTTCCCATGTTCTTCTCTGTTGATACGTCCATTGAAGCAGCTGCTCCTGTTAAGCTGTCATCCTGTTTATTTCCCAAAAAAAAAAAATACACCGGTTCATTATAAACAGAGCACTACATTTACATCTATATATCAAACCATACTAGTATGTTACGCTAATCAAAAAAACGTGGAGGTAAGTACTAGACTTACTTGAAGACGAAGGTAGTTGTCCTGAGAGCGAAAGGATTGGAAAACAGTACTGTTCTGGTAATCAACCATGTCAGCTCCAGCTTCATAAAAAGCTTGTATAATAGGAGATGATCCTTTTTCAAATAGCCAAGACAAAAGCCCCCACTTTGCAGTTGTTTTAGCGTTGTACTTTTGCTCATTCCTTCCTGATCCCGTTCCTATTGATAAAACCAGTAGTCTATCATGGATGCTTCCACAGCCTGGATTTTCCTTCATCATCTGCTTCGTAACTTCGTTAATTGCTAGGTATGTCTGCCCAACAAAAACAAAACAAATAGGATTTCCCTTCGTTATTTGTTTGGTAACGAGCTAGACTTGAGGCGTATGTTCCACTCGTAGAATTGAGGGAAATTTTCCTTGCAATATGATGTAAGTTGACATTTTACTACGTAGTTTGGAATGAAGAGAATAGCTAGTTATTGGTCGCTGAGCATTACCGGATTAGTGCACACAATTCCGCCATCGATGAGGTTGAAGTCCCTAGTCTTTCCGTCTTCATATACGTTTTGGAAATAATAGGATGGAAGAACAGTTGGAGCAGCCGACGTTCCTAAACATATATCTGATATTTTTGCATCCAATTCTGGGTAACTCGGAACCTGCATTACTTAATGATGAATGAAGGAGTTTGAATGCTTTAATTTTTGAGTCTTTTCATCATCCATTTCTTGTTAAATGCATTACGGAAAACTTGATTAGCCTTTGAACAAGTTCTTAATTTTAACCTAACATTTAATGTTAATATTCTTCACTTTCATTTAAGACTTGCTCTTTAAAGTTCTTTTTACTTTACTTTATTCTTTCGTAAGTAGAAAGATCTTTGTGGAACAGAGGGCAATGAATGGATCGAAGATGTTCATTAGCAAACAATAAGAATGACAGACAAATTATTGAAGTAGAGTTGATAGTTTACGAGTATTAACCTTGTAGGAAGAAAATATAACAGGTTGGAGCATTTTGATGTCAAAAGTAGGAATGACAACGTTTGTTAATGTGTGATGCAACCTTGTCGCTCTCAATTTCTCCCTCATTGTTTGGCGGAGATGCTTGCGGCTTGCCATTATATTTAGGCCCTGTCATAGCTTTGACAAAGCTTGTAAGCTTAGCGAGTGCCCCCCTACATCCATTATTCGGAGAAAATTAGATTAATTGTAATTAGGATATCATCGGATTACAACTATGAAACTATTAATCATGTTGGACAATGTAATTTTTTAATAACTGTACAGAGTACTCGCTCGTATCTATGTATCATCTTTGTTGCTTTATCTACAAACGTATCATGTTTATAACTTTTGTCCTAACTCCTAATCAATGACACAGAATTGCCTTAAGTTATTATTATGCTTTTGTGTAAACTTTATCTTTATATCGACATTTTTTTGATCGATAATATTGGAGTATTACATATTTACATACGAACTATAATATAATAAACAAAACATTAAGGATGTGGACGTGCAAACAGGATGTTAATGCATACTAGTATTGTAAATAATATTCATACACACAGTCCATGCAAGTATGCAACGCACTGTACGACAAAGATGTTCCAGCAAGAAATACTTAGAAAATCAATGTGAAGAAGGAGCCAATTCAAAGTGGGAAGAACTAACAAGAATTACACCGTCAATATGTTGGCCTCTTAGCTGTCTAAACCCAGTCAAATATTCCTTTTTTTTACTCGCTCCTTACCAACTAAACTTCCGTGAATGCAAGTAGCCAAGTAGGCAATATAATGCAAGTTGTATGTTGAGTATACATTTATTTAAAAGTACAATGAGTAACAAATAGCAATTGATGTTCATTCAAATTCGTTCGCATTTCTGCACAAATTAAAGTTGTTACCTTTCCTGTGGAAAAATTTTAGGACCATGCTCGAGATAGAAAGTTGTAATATCTTCGGCAGCATAAAGAGGACGATTATAGTCATCTGGTGCAGTTAACATGGCTGTTATTAACCCACCCGTGCTCGTTCCTGCTATCACATCAAAATAATCTGCTAGCCTTGCTTCCTCTCCATCCGACTCCTACATTTTTAATTAAAACCACGCATCACATATTCACATTTGATTTACCCCGTATCAATATATATTGTACATAGTACATATGCTTCTATAGTTGTCCTTATTCTCCAAGTTTACAAGATTGTATGTATAGACATATAATTGTACAACATTTCAATTGACGTATAGATATTTGGTAGATGATGTGTGTGAACTTGATCAGTGGCGGATCTTGGCCAAAAATATTAGACGGGCTAGAATTTAAACTTTTTATCTCTCGGTCAAAACTACTCACTATATTATAATATTTCATAAATAAAATAAGGTTATTTAGGTTCATTAACTAGTTAATTACAATAATTTACCGGGGTGGAAGGTCCTCCTCTGAACTTGATAGATCGATGGATGACTAGTCGAGAAGTAGCTAGGTAAGTAATGTATGTACATACCTGAAGAAGTTGTTCGAGGAAAGAAAGAATGACAGCAGGAATAATCCCTCGAATGCCACCACCATCGATGCTAAGAATAGTCACCAACTTCTTTCTGTTGTAGTAACTGAAGGATGGAGGAGACCCTTCTAGATCCGCCATCCCAATTTCGAAGAAGAGAGCTTAATTGAGAGAAGCTAAGTTAAACACAACTAACAGCTCTGCAACAACGTATCGTTCTATTTAGAAAGGCCGTAATTGGATTGTAAGAGTTTTATAATTGACATTATTATTGCTTCTTCCATTCTTTTATTCCTATTTATTTAATATATTAGACTGGTATGCTAATTAAATTATACAAATAATTAAGTTTAATAAGAGGGTTATTGGATGCAACTATGCTATATACAGAGGGTTTATGACTAAATTATGGATAATACAAGTATATGCTTATCCCACACAGCCCACACAGTTGTCACAGGCCTTTTCAAATATAGATATTCATGATCTTATATGGAATATTCATAATTAGAATAAACTCATACAGAGAAACGGAAAAGAGGAAAAAAAAAAAAAAGTTGAATTTCAAAATTGACGAAAACTTGTTTAAAAAAATGTATAAACAAGGTTCATAATTAATAATTAATAGTGTAAAAGTTTTTTTTGTTGAAAATTATCCTTCAATTTATGTATCAATCATGTACTTTTTGGTGCTATCCTTATTTCACGTTCACTAATATTATTGCTTGTTTTTGCATGCCGGACTTGAATTAGCTAGGGCTTTATAAATATCAATTCAAAGGATTAGATTAATTACTATTGTACACAAAATATGATAATAATACATACTATATAATCCTTGTATCCCTAATTTTTTGCCCCATTTAATTTGATTTTTCACAATTTTCATAATACGCCTTAAAACATACGGTAAATATTTTCAATTCTCTAGTCACAAAAATTTTAAAAATTTGATATTTTACAGTAGACAGACGTGACGTTGTTGACTATTTATGTTTTATTTGAACCCATGTAAAATCTTCTTGGCTACAAACATTCACTGGAGCATACATATATTGATATACAATAAAACATGAACTTGTACTTGAGCTATTAAATTAAAATGAATATAAAATAAAATTATATTCATACATTTTTTTTGTTTGGGGATAGCTACTATAATAATCCACACCGGTGCACTCTTTTACAAAGTTTTTTCATACTTTATATAAATCACATATAATGGTGTTTAATGTAAGGGAATACAAATGCCAAATGTATCACTCTTTTCGGCAATTCTCAGGTTGTTCCCGCCTTCTCTTTTCATCGGAAAGTTGTTTTGCAAACCTGTAAATGGATGTCATTAACTAAATGATTAGTAATTTTATGAGTAGGCCTAACTAAACTTGCATATCAGGGAGTGTTTATTATTCGTGATACATACATATATTAACAAATATCATTAATAGTTAATAATACTCCGTATTACAAAAGTTTTAGCCCATATATTTATCAACAAAGTTTATGATTATCAACGATTAAAAATGATTAAATGATTTATACCTTATCAAGGCCTCCTCATTGGTTCCACCATTAGGAATAGGTTGATAAATGCCCGTATCAAAATTAATCCTTGAAACAGGTTTCTTCAATAGTGCCTTTCCTATTTTCACAAGGTTTTCCAAATTTTTCTTGGTTGCTGCATCTGCTTTTGTTGCTAATCCTGTTAGCGTATCATCCTACGTACAATTTCCCAATTTAGAATGTTAGGGTACCTTGCATATACGACCAATTGCCATGCATGTACGTTAACTATCCATAATAAATGTACAAGTACAAACAAAATAAGATTGAACTGTTTTATTGATCTTGATATCATCTATGAAAGGATGGATCAATCAACTTTATATACTATAATACTTTCTCCGTTTAGAAATAGTTGTATTGTTTTCGATTTATGCAGTTCCCCCATTATTGAAGTTAAAATGGTATGGATACTTCTAAACGGAGGTAGAAATGAGATTAAAATGAGTAGAATTAGAAAAACATGTGCAGGAACTTACTTGGATACGAAGGTAATTATCAATGGAGCCATAAGCTTCAAAAGCAACAGCGTTATGGAAATCGATCATATCAGTCTTAGATTGATTGTAAGCATCAAGTATTGGAGTTGAACCATTGTCAAATAACCATGAAATTATACCCCATTTTGCTGCGGTATGAGCATTGTATTTCCGGTCTAACTTGTCGGATCCAGTCCCTAACGATATTACCAGCAAACGTTCACGATCCGTGGGCTTAATCGGGAAGAAATTCGGGTTTTCCCTCATTACTTGTTTTTTCACTTCGGTTAATGCAACTAGTGTCTGTCGATAACCAAATTTAAATATTGTTAAAACTCTTAAGCAAAGTACAATTACAGTCCATTTTGCATTGAGTGCACAATAGATTTTTTCACTAAAACTAACAATGCATGCATATATTCCCTCAATCCCTTAATGTTTGCACCATGGACCTACTTTTTATGAGAGCTTTTTGGGTCAAATAGTGCAAACAATAAGGAACAGAGGCCAGAGGGAGTATTGTATAAATAAAAATTGTGTAGTTACAAATTTCTTAAATGTAACAAAAGGAAATATATATTACCATGTACTTTTTTTTTGTTGGTAAGATGAAAGACCTTACTGAACCAACACCTCTCACAATTTTAAGTCAATCTAGCTAAATAGGTCAACCCTTAAGAGTAGAAGAGGGGTAAGACCATAAGGAAATCCCCCTACTCCTTATAAGCTGCAAAGCAAATATAGTTGAATGTTACCATGTACTTGCTTAGCACATTTTTATCGAAATCAAGTTCTAATAACAAGAGTATAAATCCAAACACCTTTATGAATTAAAGAACCCCGTTATAACTAAGTAAATTAGAATCCAACAATACATATAGTTATCAATCTCAATATGTAGTTTTCAAAAGTAACAATACATAAAGAATAATCTTACAGGGTTATTGGCAGCAACACCTCCATCGATGAGGTTGAATTCTCTGAAATTGCCTTTATCATCTTTGTTTTCGAAGTAATACGCCGGTAGGAGAGTTGGAGCAGCCGACGTGCCTAAGCATATGTCTGACATCAAAGCGTCTAATTCTTTATAATTTGGAACCTACAATGTGTTTTATCCCGTCCTAATGTTAAGAGAGCATGGTAATAAAGAACAAATAATATAGCCAAATTAAATTCGCCCTTAAATGATGCATATCATGCCCCTCAAGTCTTTAACTAATGAATCTAGTTGGTGTGCATATATTTTGAGTGAATTGAAGTTAAACTCTTGATTCTCTTTATAATTAAGCTTATTATGAAGTATATAATTCTTACGATAATATTAGTTAAGTTCTCCGAATATTTGGATGAGAGCATAATCTTTACATATACAAATTAATAAACTATGTATAAATAATGATACATCAAATTAAATACATAAGTCACGGATGAATTAATACTATACATTGAGATTGAATTGGCTAACATACCATATAAGAAGAAAAGAGAACAGGCTGAAGATTTTTGATATCAAAAGTGGGAATAACCACATTAGTCAGTGCTTGATGCAACCTTGTATCACCTAGTATTTCTTTCACAAGCTTGTGCAGGTATTTTCCATCGTATTTTGGTCCGTTTAGCACCTTCAAAAGAGTCTCCATCGATCCAAATATCCCACTACATCTCCAACGATTAATGCACGACCAATCACAAAACATTCACGTTAGCACCCTTATTAGACTTTATAATACTTGTATCAGTTCTAATTTTTATATATCCAATCTACATACGGAGTATAAGTTATATATATATATATATATATATATATATATATATATATATATATATATATATATATATATATATATATATATATATATATATATATATATATATATGTATATATGTATATATGTATATATGTATATATATATATGTATATATATATATGTATATATATGTATATATATATATATATATGTATATGTATATATTTATATATATGTATATGTATATATATATGTATATGTATATATATATATATATGTATATATATATATATATAGTTAAAATGAATAAATTAGTGAAAAATGTTGGGTATGGCCTAAATTTTCAAAGCCCATTATTTTGATGGAGTATTGGTTCATGATTCTAGAAGCTTCCGGATACATGTAGAGTGGTTGGTGTTGCTCCTCAATTCTCTAGATTTTTCTACAAGCTCGTATCAACAAAGCCACTAAAATAATTTAGAGAATTCTTGACATTGGAAGTAATTAGAAACATGGTTCGTGAACATTATAGAATATTAAGGCTACAAGAATGATGGAGGAATTTCTGAAATATTCTGACCATTTCTTCCAAGTTCCATCTACAACTATAAATATGAGTTATGGACATTCAACACATACACACACATAAGAAGCCATAGCATACACACTAGCCATCCTACATACTACACCTCCTTTTACTATACATCTCTCTACATACTATTTTGTAATACTCCTTAGTGAGTTTTCTATAGTGTGAGAGTTTCGTGTACTACTCACCCTTTAAACGGTTCTTGTATTCTCCTATTTTCATATAGTGGATTACTTCGACTCTCGTCGTTCGTGGATTTTTGATAATTTTTCCCACGTTAATTATTGTGTGTCCATTTCTTTATTACTTATCTTACCTTTATCTTTCTCCTAATTATTTTATCAATCTCTACATCTTTAATTTTCTTCCGCTGTGCACTCACCAACCTTAACAAAAATCTATGTAATATATAAAGAGAAGAGGTGTTTTTGGTTGGGAATTTTTGAGTGGACCATTTACCCCTCTTCAAAAAATTTATTATAATTAATAAAAATTTAAAATTTATTTAAAGTTTAATCTTAAAAAATAACTTTCATTTTTAACTGGTCCATAAATTTACAATGATAACTCATCTCATGGTAATTATTTAGTGATATAAATTTCACACTTGGTGTTTTAAAGGTTAGTAGTATAATTTATTTAGTAGTACAAATATTTATATTGTGCACATATTTTACAAGAATATTTAATTTAAATGATAGAAATATATTGAAACTTATTTTATAAGTATGTATGATTTAAATCATACATAAATACAATAAAAGTTATTTAAGCCCGTGTAATGCTTAAAAAAAATATTTAACTACATGTAAAAGTAAAATTTACTCCCTCCGTCCCTAAAAGATCGACCCTTATGGGAAATTTTCACGGGTATTAAGAAAGTTAAATAAGAAGTAGTAAAAGTGCATTGAAAATATGAGTTTACATGGGATTTGCAAAAAAGTAAAAAGAGAAAGTAATAAAATACATGGAAACACAAAATTTTACATGGGAAAGTTAATTTTGCACAAATATTGTTGCAAATTGAAGGTTATTTTATTGTAAATGGGATGATCATTTTGGGCTAAAATTTTGGCCATAAAGGTCGAACTTTTAGGACGGATGGAGTAGAATTTTTTTTGCATGATTTTCTTTTATAGCTCATCCGTTAAATGGATTTTTACATCTACTAATCATAAAAAATACGAAATAATAAATTATATCAATATGCCATTTATGCAAATAAGTAAAGTATAAAGATAACTTTATGTATGAAGTATTAAGAGTAGGGAGGATAATCGTGCACGTATTGCGTGCACCTCTAAACTTGTACTGATTAAAGCATAGAAGTTAATTTACAGATTAAAACTTAATTCAAATAGTGAATGATATTTGAAAATTAATCCAAACTATATATGAATATAATTACTCTGTATCTTCCGGGTGAGCCCAGTTACTCATTATGAGTAACAAAATTTGTTACTCAAATGGCACAAATTGTAATTAATTGTAAATTTGATAATATTTTATTATATTTGTTGCTGACTCATCCTTCTTCCTTCCTTCCCATCACCACAATCACCACCATCACAGCCACCACCATCATCACAGCCACAATCTTTCCTCCGCCATCGTTCTTTCTCACAGTCGTCGATCTTCACCATCATCCTTTCTCACAGCCGCCGATCTCCACCTTCTTCTTCATCCTTTCTCACAGTCGATCTCCACCATCTTCGTCCTTTCTCAAGGAGATCTCCACCATCGTCCTTTCTCACAGCCACCATCTTCTTTGTCCTTTCTCCACCCACCTCCCCCATCTCCACCCACATCAGAACAAAACGAAAACCCTATAAATTAAGGGTGAAATTAAGGGCATGGTCAACCCTAAAGGGAAGGGGTGACCATGTCCTCCATTGAAGCTCCTTCAATTGAGCTTACTTTTCGTAGATGGGTCGAAAGTGATGAAATAAGTTAATTATGTTCAGCGGCGACGAAGTGATGATAGTGGTGGTTGTGGTGGATGTGATGATGGTGGTGGCTGTGATGGTTGAGGTAGAAGAGGAGTAAGGAGAGAGAAAGTTAAATGGTAGAATTGAAAAGACAAGAGTGCCCCTTAAGTAACATAGTTTGTTAAATTATTCATGTAAAGTAACTTGAATTTACCCGTATCTTACAAGCTATTAATGATATTTATGTGCAAACGATATGACCTCAATAATTTCTAGTGTAATCTTCACACACATTTGAAAAAAAAAATGAGGTGAACAATAATTGTACACCTAAATCATGGAAGCATATGTTTATGTAAGTAACTTGTGGAAGCAGAAACGAAGTAGTATTTGCATGTTGGGATGTCATATCTCTCAAGATTTATACTAAAACAAATTTACTTTGCGAGTCATATATCTCTGAATTGAAATTACCATTAAATTTTCTAATGATTATTCTTCATCAAGTCCCACACATTACTGGTCTTACTTGGAGAGTTAGTTTAAGGTGCTTTGGCGTATATCATACACAATAGATTGCCAATTATCTCATTTGATTGTGATTTGCTTACTCGCTCACTCTGTCTTTATATAGTTGACACTTTTATTATAATTTTGACTCTTTTTTTTTTACTAATATATAAAACCAAATTTAAATGTTAATGTGTATTTTAGAAACGATAACTGATCATATTTTTTTTACAGATATATAATTAAAAATATTGAAAATTAGAATTGTGTTAAAAGTTAAAGTATGTCAATTAAATAGTAACGAAAGTATACATTTTGATGTTCACAAGCTTTTTTTTTCCTTTTTGCGGTGAGTTCTTTATAAATTGTTTTATCTAAAGGCAAAAAATATGTTGCAATATTCCATAAGACTCCACCAGAAATTGAGTAAACATCATTTTGTGCAGCTATATATGTTAATAGTTAGAATTATCCAAAGCATATTGGGTTCGTTAGTATTATTTTTCATTTTAAATATAATTTTATGAACAATTTGTTGAAATCATATTCGGCTTGCTTAGTTGAAAGTAATAACTATATACAGCCAGAAGCCAAATTGTCTATATATAGTAATGATTTATTTTGATGTACGTAGTGACAGGCCATGTATATATTTGTAAAATTGTACAATATAATTATAAATTAAATTGATCAGCGTGTTTTTGGCCTTATTGGATATCCAATAGCCTTTTACCAGAACATCGTGCCTTCTATACTTCTTAGATAGTTAGATGGTGTGAATAGTAGGAGCCTTGTGATTGACTGGGTGTTTCCAAAGGCTTTAGGTGCATGGAATGGGTTAGGAGATTATATTAAGTTCGGGATCATACCTATCAGATGATAATAAAAACGAAGTTTTCTTTGATAAATAAACCCGGCCCCTTAAAGCTAGTCTAGTCTCACAATAGCGAAAATTATAAAAGATTATATTATGGACCTTTCATACCTTGACTAACAAACGGTCTTTGGAAAATTAAATGTTCAAGATAGAAAGGAATTACATTTTATTACCTTGGTTGACGGAAGATCTTCGGAGAATGTTCAAGATAAAAAGGAATTATATCCTTAGCATCGTAGAGTGGCCGATTTTTCTCATTAGGGGCAGTTAACATGGCGGTTATGAAGCCACCTGTGCTTGTTCCAGAAATGACATCAAAATAATCTGCCACTCTTGCTTCCTTAATCCTTACCATCTAATTTCTGTTTTGAGCATTAATATTAATAATCGTTAGCATGCAAAATTATAACTAACAAGAGAGACGTTAACATTTAACTTGATTCCCTCACTATGTTCAAAACTTCATGTTCAAGTTATTAGTTATATGATTATATGAACAACATAACTATGTGTACCTGGAGTTCTGATTCAAGGAAATCAAGCATGACCGCGGGGATGATACCCCTAATCCCTCCTCCGTCGATACTAAGGATTGTTATGAGCTTACCGCGATTTGGAGGCCTAGGGCAAAGGATATGGCTCGTAGTTTTCTCCATTTTATCGGATTAAAATGTTTTCTAGGCGTAGGAATAATTAGAAAATGAGAAGTCGTTGAAGCTATAAATTTATACTTCGTGTAATCCTGTTTGCTTGCATAATTGCAGAAGTGATGTAACGATTATTTCATAGTGGCTGGAGTTTATGCACACTTGAAAAATTAAAATTGTATAAATAATAATATAATAATATAAGATTCTAATTCTTCATTTCAGGGAAATTGACTTGACTAAATTCAGGTTTATCCAACATTATATTATACTTGTATGAATTAGCTCCTACCAAGATCTTGTCTTAGCTTATCGATCATAATACAATCAGGCACGTATGCTAATATTATACTAACTTCGACTTAATCTTGTTCTTTTTAAGTTTTAAGAGTATATTGATCTATTTGATCAACTTTCTCGATAATTTGTACAAAATGTGAACTAACTTAGCCAGCAAGGCCTTAGAAGAGTTTTGATTCTGATAAATAGCTAGGACAATAAAATAGATAAATAAATTTGCTACAATCAACCTAAATAATTTTTCTCTACAAAATAGTCCTTTTTTTTTGGGTAAGGAAGAGGCCTTGGTAAGGAAGAGGCCCTACCGGGGCAGAACCTTTCACAAATCCTTCCGGCCCGGGTTAGTGAGCTAGGCACTTTAGGATGGAGTTGGGGAAGGGTAAGGGAATCCCCACCCCAAAATGTCTCTAGTGAGGCAAAATCATCTAGTTATAAGTCTTAAAACTAACTGTACATCTAATTCCGTATTTACTGCCTAGCTCATAGTTTGTTTTTTGTGTACGTGTATTTTTCAGAGAGAGATGTATATTACCTAAAATACATAAGATTTAAGAACTATGCTTTTAGAAGGCTGTGATTAAGGGTTGAAAAATGACTCTCCAATTATACAAAAGATGGGATGTGGATATGTGGTACAGTGTAGTCATTTGGAGGATTATAAGTTTATAACCGAGGTAAAAAAAACATTTAATTACAGTTAACACTACTTGATTTACTTCTTAGTTTTTACAGTATATTTTATTTAAGAAAATAAATACTCGTATAGCTAGGTGTAGTGGAGTATAATACTTCGTAGGAGCCAGTTCACAAACACTTCTAGCAGCCTTGCTGAAATTGATAATTGAAATTAGGATTAGGCCAATGTCATGCACTCATGCTAATACGGAGTACAATTTATTATTCTGCTCATTAGGCTATTACTGGAAAGCTTTTTTTAATTAGAATAAGAGTTGGACACGTTTTTGGGTATTTGACTAATTAATTTCTATTCAATTTTGTAATCAGGTGCATTTACGTTAACCGTATATTTTATAATGCTAATCATCTTTTTAATTTCGATTCAATTTCCGTAATCTATCCCATACACGCTATGACGCTAACCTTCTTTTTATTATTATTAATAAAACTATTACGAAAAAAATAAAGTGCGCTTATACGAAAATAAATAATTATAAAGCTTATAAATTTTTTTAGTACTTCTATCTTTAACTTAAATAACGTATCATTTTACGAAATGAATAGGGCTAATTAATCTTAAAAAGAGCATATTATGATGTTATCATCTTTAGAGAGTATTGGATTGATTATATAGTGATACATACAGGTGTTTTTGCAGTTTCTTACTTCCTCTGTACCAAATTTGTTAATTAGAACAACTAATAATAGCTAAACAACAAATTATATAATGTACAATACACAAGCAGCTACTTGATTGGCTAAACTAATTAAGTAAAACTACCGACAATCAACTGTCTAATTAACCGAGAAGGGTTAAAAAAAAAAAGTCACAATCATGTTCAACACGATGATTTCAAAAATCGCGCGTCTTTTTTTCGTTTAGAGCACTTACAGCAATGAAGTTTTTCTTATCTAGAATTTTTTTTTCACCAAAATATTACCCCACCAATGAATTTCCCCATAAAATATCTAGAGAATTTGGGAATTTTTTCTCTTTCCCTCTTACTAAAATTTGCTGATAAAGGGTGGGGTTGGTGAGCGAACTTTTGGGTTTGTTATTGGTAGGAGAGTGGTGAGAGAATGTTTGGGTTTGTTGTTGGCAGGATGAAAAAAATTCTTTTATGAAAAATCTGATGTGGAGGAGAGGGAAAGGTAGAGAAGGAAATTTTCTTCTTCTTTGGTGAGAGTGCTCTAAGATGATTGTTCTTCTGATCAGAATTTACACGAATGAAACTCCATCTATCTCTCAATTACGTGTCACACCATTGTCATATCAAATAAATAAACAAGACAACTATATTAGTCACTGATTAATAATATTCCATGCTTTCAATAACACAATCTAATGCTCAATCTATGTTGAATGCCTTCCTCCGTCTTAATTAAAGTTCTTATTAACGTTTAGATGGTGTGTTATATGCATCCATTAAAATCTATATATGTGAAGTCTCTTACATTGGTAAAATAGACTAAAAAAATTATCTTACTCGTATAAGATAAGGTTACTCATATTATGACGTCATTATTACCAATTAGTCATACTTAGCTAATACTTCAAAGTATCTAACTCATTAATCCAGGCCGAGTTGACTTATTTATAAGAGAAATCAATTAACAATTTTTTTTTTACCTAAAAAAAATGGAGTACTCTTAAACAAACAAAAGTAAACGGTCAAAAACACAGACCCATTCACCTCGACGACAACGATTGCAATTGCCACGTCTAATTTCTGAAACATGACTACATGAGTGCACAAATGTTTTCTCCCAAAAAAAATAAAAATTATAAATAAATAAAAGTTGGTAGCAAACAAAAAAAAAAAAAAAACATTTTTTTTAAAAAAGTAAAAAACCCAAATTTCCTTGAAAAAAGCGGGGTGGTGGTGGAGGGGTCAGCAGACTCAGGACTCTGCTGCACTCTTAAAGAAAAAAAAAAAAAAAATGCCAGAACTTTCTTCCCGTTAATCTCTTCTCTACTTCGTTTCAGCTTTAACTTAACCATCATTAACTCTCTTAATCTTTCATTATTATTAAAAGGTTTAAAACAATTTGAAATCTGGGTTTGTTTCATACCATTCCCTTTTTTTATTTTTTGTTGGAGAAAAATGGTGGGAGATTTGCGTTCTTTCTATAAGGTATGTTCCATCTTTAATTTCTAATTTCCTGTATTTTTTTTTAGTTATTGAACTATTTTATGTTGAAATAATCTTGTGGGTAGTTGTAAGATTTTGACATTTTCTTAAGTTTTAGTATTATTTTCCTTAATTTGACTATAAGATGCTGCAGTAGAAATTGTGGGTTTTTGGGGTTTGCTGGGAAAAAAGTTGTTTTTTTTGGTAGTCTTTATCATCAGCAAACAAGATTCTATTTTTAGTAAGATATGAGTTTTAAGGCTTGTTATTAGCAGCTAAAAAGTTGGTGAGTAGTTAATTTAGTCAAGAGAGATAGAGAAAATGGGGAAGAAAACAAGAGTGATTGATGGGATATGCTTTTCTCTTGTAACGAATGTGGTTTAGATGTAATGAGTTAATGGTAAAGTTTTGTAAAAAAAAATTCTGATTTTTTTTTTTTTTTAAATCATTTGTACTGTTATTGCTATTGAGTATAATGTAATTAGTTCCTTTTTAAGTATGCAATTGCATGTTTTTGAGCTTAATTTTGGTGGATTGTGGTGAAACTGTTGTTTGGTTTATAATATATTACATAGGTTCTTATGTAATTTACGCGCTATGCGGTTAAAAGTATTTGTAATTTTGTGGTGGCTTGATCAGTGTAGATTGTAATTCACAGGCGATGTCTTCTTTAGTGATATTTAATCTGCATTTTGTGTCATACAGGATACTTTTGTTCTTAGGCCTCCAAAGATGTCTTCTCTGATAGTAAGAATGATAATGCTAGTGATTGTTACAGTATGTGGAGTTTATATATGTTCAGTCTGTCTGAAGCAGATAAACACCCAAACCAAGTCTAGTATTGAAGTTATTGAGAGACTGAGAATAAGTTGTGAGGCCAACCATTTGGATTATCCATATCTGCATTACCCACAGCCTGAAACCTTTAGCAGGTAATGCGGTGTTGCCTTAAGTCGATAATCTTTTTTGTGTGTGCTTGAATTGGATTGTGAGTATTGATTTCCTTGTGTTTTAGGGCTGAATGTTCCGGAAATCCGGTCCGGTTCTTTGTGATTGTAACAATGCAGAGATCAGGGAGTGGATGGTTTGAGACGTTGTTAAATAGTCACATGAATGTCACTTCCAATGGTGAGATATTCTCTAATAAGGAAAGGAGAGACAATATCTCCTCTATTATTCGGACTCTTGATAAGGTTTACAATTTGGATTGGTTCAATAGTGCTTCCAAGAATGAATGCTCAGCTGCTGTGTTGTGCGACAGCGGAAGCAAAGGTCGAAAACAAACAAGAAAACAATAAAGAAATTCAATGCAAACAATAAGAACAACACCAAGAATTTACGTGGTTCACTATCGATGTGATAGCTACGTCCACGGGCACCGAGATCGAATGATTTCACTATAAACTGGCAAAGATTACAAAGATTACAATGAAGAACTTAATCACTCAAAGTATTCTCTCTCTTGTGTTTCTCTCTCCGTTACCCTAATAATGATAATAGGAAGTTTATATAGTAGTGATTCCTAATTAAGATATACTTAGGTTACAATATCACAATATGATAAATATTAAATTCGTAATCGCTGAAAAAACCCAGATCGCCCGGTCGGGCGAAGGCCCGCCCGATCGGGCGCGAGAACACGTCTTTTCCAACAACCGAAGTACTCCAAAAAACCCCTTCCGCCCGGTCAGACCGGGCAATGTCCGCCCGGTCGGGCGAAGGCTCGCCCGGTCGGGCGAAAGCTCGCCCGATCGGGCGCGCGAGAGCAGCTTCTTCAACGAATTTGCCAGGCACCTCTTCTTCTTCCGCCCGGTCAGACCGGGCAATGTCCGCCCGATCGGGCGGACAAAGCTACGAAGTACGAGTCACCTAATATACTTATCAACAATCTCCACCTTGACGAGAACTCGTAGTCAGCAAACGACCCCATCAAGACATAGTGAAAAAACATCTCAAGCCAAACCCGATGCAGGACTCATGCATAAGCCATACATCCCGATAAGTCTTCAACCAAGACCCATCACATACTCGTCTCCAAGTATAACAACTCATAATGCTCCACCTGCATCACAAGCCCCGGGCAAGCTCCACCTTAATGCCAACACACCTACACCAGGAGCTCCCCAACTTCGCCCCTCAGGGCCTACTACATCACGTAGTAATCAATATTTAGCAAGTCTAAGCAATGTTTAAACTTGCTCAACGGAACAGGCTTAGTGAAGAAATCAGCCGGGTTGTCAGCAGTCCCAATCTTCTTCACCTTAATCCTCTTGTCAGTACGTAAGAAATGATACCTGACATCAATGTGCTTCGTCCGATCATGGTGTACTTGATCTTTAGCTAAGCAAATCGCACTTAGACTATCACAATACACTGTAGCAAAATCCTGTGCAATACCCAGTTCACCTACTAGGCCTTTGAGCCAAATAGACTCCTTAGCTGCAGAAGTTAGAGCCATATACTCAGCTTCAGTAGTTGACAACGTAACTGATGACTGCAATGTAGACTTCCAACTAACCACAGAACCACCCAAAGTGAACACATAACCAGTCACAGACCTCCTGGTATCCACATCAGCTGCATAATCAGAATCACTGTACCCAGTGACCAAGCATTCCTTACCATTCCCGTACACAAGACCAATATCAGCTGTCCCTCTCAGGTAGCGAAAAATCCTTTTCACCCCTTGCCAGTGTTCCCTCCCAGGTCGAGCCATAAACCTGCTTACAACACTAACAGCATGCGCAATATCCGGCCTAGTACAGACCATAGCATACATCAAACAACCAACCGCGTTTGCATATGGAACTCTAGACATATAAGACAACTCCTCCTCTGATTGAGGTGACATAGACAAAGACAACTTACAACTAACAGTAGTTGGCGTACTTATAGGCTTCGATTTTTCCATCCCAAAACGAGACAGAATCTTTTCAATGTAGCTTTTCTGAGTCAAGAAAAGCTTACCTCTAGCCCGATCCCTGTAGATCTCCATACCCAAAATCTTCCTAGCTGCACCCAAGTCTTTCATGTCAAACTCCGAGTTAAGCATCTCCTTTAATCTAGCAATATCAGATTTATTCTTTGTGGCTACCAACATGTCATCAACATATAACAAAAGATAAATCATGGAACCATTATCCAGCTTACTATGATACACACAGCAATCATATGAATTCCTGTCAAAACCTTGTGAAACCATAAAAGAATCAAACCTTTTGTACCACTGTCGGGGGGATTGCTTAAGTCCATACAATGACTTTAGCAATCTGCAGGCATAGTGTTCCTTTCCAGGAGCTTCGAATCCTTCGGGCTGCTTCATCAGAATCTCCTCCTCCAAATCGCCATGAAGGAAGGCCGTTTTAACATCCAACTGCTCCAGCTCAAGATCAAAATGTGCTACAATTGACAATAACACACGGATAGAAGTATGTCGAACCACAGGTGAGAATATCTCAACAAAGTCAACCCCTTCTACCTGACTGAACCCCTTAGCAACTAGCCTAGCCTTAAAACGTATTTGCTCAGTTTCCGACAACCCTTCTTTCTTCTTGTAAATCCATTTACAACCCACAAGCTTCCTCCCTTCCGGTACCTTTACCAGTTCCCACACTCTGTTCTTGTAAAGAGACTGCATCTCTTCACCCATTGCGGCAAGCCATTGCGCAGACTCACTACAACTAATTGCTTGTTTATATGTGGCAGGTTCAAATGACTCTACATCATCAGCTACACTCAATGCATAACCTGTCATCGCATCAACACAGCAATTTCTTCCCTCCATCTCTTCAATCAATCTAACAGGCTTCTTGATAACTCGTTTAGGCATCTCAAGAATGGTGTCAGGTTGACTAGATGACCCCTGATTAGATTGCTCCACCTCATCCCCAGAGTTAGAATGAGTAGGAGTAATCTCAGGTTCAGGAGTACCCGGCACTGGAACATCAGCATCATCATCAATATATTGTACCCGAGGTAAATCAGCAATGGTAGACTGATGTACCTCAAGTACCCCATCTGTCTGTAATAAATTGTCTCCTTCCCTTCTCAAATCTGAAATCTCTGCATTTTTAATTGAATACATGGTGTTTTCATCGAAAGTAACATCCCTACTAAGAATGACCCGACCCTCCGAAGGTGAAAAAATTCTAAACCCCTTCACACCATCCCCGTACCCAACAAAACACCCCTTCTTGGCTCGTGGATCCAGCTTACCCTCAATAACATGATAATAAGCAACACAACCAAAAATCTTCAAATTCGAAAAATTAGGCAACTTACCACTCCAGATCTCAAACGGAATCTTGGAATCAATTCCAGAATGAGGACCCCTATTAATGACATAACAAGCTGTTAACACAGCTTCACTCCAGTACCTCCTCCCAAGCCCTGCATTAGAGAGCATGCATCGAACTCTCTCTAGCAGTGTCTGATTAACCCGTTCTGCTACACCGTTCTGCTGTGGTGTCTTCCTGACAGTATGATGCCGACCTATACCCTCATCTGCACAGAACTGATTAAACTCGTCTTTGCAAAACTCTAGCCCATTGTCCGTTCGTAGCTTCTTGATCTTCCTTCCTTGTCGATTTTCCACCAAAGCTTTCCATTGCTTGAAAACTTTGAAGGCCTCATCCTTTGACTTAAGCAACCTAAGCCATGTGTATCGGGACTTGTCATCAACAAATGACACAAAATAGTGGTAACCTCCCATACCTTCAACTCTAGATGGACCCCAGCAATCTGAATGGATGTAATCGAGCACTGCATCAGTAATGTGAGCACCCTTGCTGAACTTTGACCTGTGTTTCTTACCAAACACACAATGCTCACAAAATTCAAGGTTGGCAACCTTGACCCCGGATAGAAGACCCCTCTTGGACAATAGCTGCATCCCCTTCTCCCCCATATGACCAAGCCTCATGTGCCAAATCTTAGTCATCTCCTGGTGAGATACAGATGCGCAAACCGCAGAACTAGGCAGTGTAACACCCTCAAAAACATAGAGGGTGTTCCTTTTGATACCCTTAAGTACCAACTCAGAACCTCTGAAAATACACAACTCCCCATCTGAAAACACACCATTGTACCCCAATTCATCCAGGGTACCCAATGAAATCAGATTCTTTCCTAAAGCAGGAACATGCCGTACATTAGTCAAAGTTAACCTCCGCCCATCAACAGTCCTCAACCTCATGGAACCAATACCTGTGACCTTACATGGAGCATTGTTACCGACTATAACCATACCCCCATTGCGAGGTTCATATGTATCAAACCAATCTCGACGTGGACACATATGGAACGAATACCCTGAATCTAGAACCCAGTTATCAGATAAATCATCAGACCTAGCAGAACTGACTAATGCTAAATCTTCCTCTGAATTATAGCTCTCATTCGGTTTCTCTTCAACTACAGCAGCCTGGGACTTGTTTTTCCTCACCGGACAATTATTCCTAAAGTGACCCGGTTCTTTACAGTAATAACATGTTTTAGTAGTAGTTTTACTAGATCCATCCTTGCCGTTTCCAGCACCCGACCCAGCATTGTTCCCCTTGTTAAACCCCTTATTCTTTTTAGACTTTCCGGACTTAACAAACAACCCACTACCATTATCCCCATTATCACTCGTAGCTTTCATTCTGAGTTCCCTAGTATGAAGTGCTGCCTTCACTTCTTCTAAGGTTATAGAATCCTTACCAACAACAAAAGACTCTACAAAATTCTCAAAGCTAGACGGTAGAGATACAAGTAAAATCAACGCAGCATCCTCATCATCAATTTTAACATCTAAATTACGTAAATCAAGCAAAATAGAGTTAAGTTTTTCTAGATGTTCCCGTAAGGAAGTACCTGACTGCATCCGGAGGCTAAACAACCGCTGTTTCAGTAATAATTTGTTGGTCAACGACTTAGTCATATACAATGACTCCAGCTTCAGCCACAATCCAGCCGCCGTTTCCTGATCAGCAACCTCCGTGATGATTTGATCATCAAGACTAAGTAATATGGTAGAGTGTGCCTTCTCTTCCATAACTTCTAACTGCGAGTCAGTCGGTCCGTCTCCTGACTCCGAAGTAGTACTCTTTGGAGCCAACGGACGCCATATCTGCTGTTGTTTTAACAGAGCCTTCATCTTAATTTGCCATAGCCCGAAACTATTTTTCCCGGTAAACTTCTCAATTCTTATTGTTGAATCTCCTGCCATTGTTATCTTCAAGAAACTCTCCAAGGATTGAACCTGAGCTCTGATACCAATTGTTGTGCGACAGCGGAAGCAAAGGTCGAAAACAAACAAGAAAACAATAAAGAAATTCAATGCAAACAATAAGAACAACACCAAGAATTTACGTGGTTCACTATCGATGTGATAGCTACGTCCACGGGCACCGAGATCGAATGATTTCACTATAAACTGGCAAAGATTACAAAGATTACAATGAAGAACTTAATCACTCAAAGTATTCTCTCTCTTGTGTTTCTCTCTCCGTTACCCTAATAATGATAATAGGAAGTTTATATAGTAGTGATTCCTAATTAAGATATACTTAGGTTACAATATCACAATATGATAAATATTAAATTCGTAATCGCTGAAAAAACCCAGATCGCCCGGTCGGGCGAAGGCCCGCCCGATCGGGCGCGAGAACACGTCTTTTCCAACAACCGAAGTACTCCAAAAAACCCCTTCCGCCCGGTCAGACCGGGCAATGTCCGCCCGGTCGGGCGAAGGCTCGCCCGGTCGGGCGAAAGCTCGCCCGATCGGGCGCGCGAGAGCAGCTTCTTCAACGAATTTGCCAGGCACCTCTTCTTCTTCCGCCCGGTCAGACCGGGCAATGTCCGCCCGATCGGGCGGACAAAGCTACGAAGTACGAGTCACCTAATATACTTATCAACATGCTGTTGGCTTCAAGTGGATGTTAAATCAGGTAAATATGATTCTAATTTCTAATTGTGTTTTGTTGATGGCCTAATGTCATGAAGCTAAGTGCTTGCCATTAAAATGTTACAACAGTATGACTTTTATCTTTAGAACTTCGAGTTAATTTTGTAAGTTGGACATTTTAAATTATTACATTTGAAATTTTAGGCTACAAAAGTGCCAATTTCGCCATTGATCTTGCAGCTAAGTCAGAGGTTTATGACCTATCAATAATCTCATTGTAAGATGCGAAGATCTAGTGAACCTATGCAATGATTCCATGGGGTTAAGGTTCTAGAATCAGTAGTTCTTAAGCAGCATCAGAAACACTTCCTGTTTTCCTGAATTGTAGTCTAGGCTAAATGTTGGTTACTGATTTTTGGTATAAGTACACTACTTCTAAAAACACCTTGAGAAAGAATGACCCCCCCACCCCCAATTAATTTCACATATATCATCTAGAAACTGGTTTCATCACCTAATCAACCAAGTCAGTGATTGAGTTTTCAATTACCATTTTACAAATGGTGTTTATGTAAAGAAACAAGTAAAGTGCTCAGCTAAAAATATGAATCGAAAGACGGAAAGACAGAGTAAAACAGAGGGAGGAGGGAGGGAGAGAATGACGGACATGATGTACTGTGTACTCTGTGAACACCCTTGTGGGTGAAGCTTCCATCCCTTGGGAAGTGAAATTTGGCAGTTGTTGGCTGCATTTCAGGTTGAGAATAGAAGAACAAGGTGTAGGGCTTCTCAGTAAACCACGACTATTAAGCTGGTCAACAGTTTATTGGATACAGTTTCACTGCCAGCCTGCAATAAGAGGCACAGGCTTAGTTCTTTGTGAGGAGCTTAGTTCATGATATGTCATGTCTGATGAAACATAGCACTCCCCTGTTTGGCTATTTCAAATGACAGTGGGTTTCTAAATTCTGATGGATATCAGATACAGCTGGCACAATTTTAAGAGAATTGAAGTATGGAATTTGGGAGTTTTTTGCACTAATGGATGTAGAGCAAGTAAGCTTACGGCTTGTTTGGTAGGTTGCGATGAATGTTGGTAATGGTAATAAATTTATATTGAATTTTGTTAAGGAGGTTTCATGCCAATGTCCATGGCAATGCTTGTCCAGTTTCAATGTTCTGTTATTCTTCATATATTCTCAATACAACCCATTACCACTTTAGTGGCGGAATTGAGTGCAATAAGAATTTATTATGAATCATACATGTTTGGATGGACAAGCATTATCATGAACATTGACTTGAGACTATCTTGACAGATTCGTATATAGATTCATTACAGTCAATTATCAATGTCTGTCAAATGAGCTGTTAATCCACTTGGAATATGGAAATCTGCATATTGACAAATTGCAGGTTGAGATGCTCTTTGTGCATTCTTGCATATTGTTGTGTTTAAAAAATGGATAATGAGAAGATTATGTAAAAGATCTTTAGAGCTCTAAGCTTGATGAGAAAAAGAGAGATTCATTGGAAAGAATGAAAGATGGTGGGCTGCAGATCTGGTGGCATATGTAACTGATTAACTTGGACTAATGAAAATCATTCAATACTCATGAAGTCATGAATATGGCTGATTGAATCGTTTTTATATGAAGATAATGCATGAAGTCATGAATATGGCTGATTGAATTGTTTTTATATGAAGATAATGCATCTTTTCTTTCATGTAACTACTGAAACTTTGAGAAAGAAATATCAATTCATATGGATCTCAACTCATTTTTTTAAAAAAAGTGATAGGTCTTGTATTCTTGTGTCCTTGTCAAGATATTGTTTTCGTCTCCATGAGCTTGATGCCAAGATATTGTTTCAAACATTTGCGGATGTTTTCACTCTCACTTTTGTAGTAGTTAGTTTAAGATGTACCTACCAAGCGAATGAACCCAATGTGTACTTGCTTACTAGATTAATTGTGCATAATTTACTCCCATCTTGAGATGCCCAAATGATGGTGGTGTACTGGTGTTTGTAATGGTAGCTGAAGCATTGTGTTAATTGTTGCCTATCTTTTGCATTGTCTTATTGGAAAATATTGGCCCATCTGTAGCTATGATGCTTTTTGGTGCATTTGATTTTCATCAAAGAGATATTGGTTAGTTGATACTTGACTCAGATTTTCAGCTCTAAATTTACAGGGGCTGATGGATTATCCAGAAGAGATAGTTGAATATTTCAACAGAAGAGGTGTGTCTGCTGTATTTCTCTTCCGAAGAAATCTACTGCGCCGGTATATTTCAGTACTTGCAAATTCCTTTGACCGCTACGCTAAGATATTAAACGGAACCCACAAGTCTCATGTGCATTCTCCAGAAGAGGTATGAACCTTGATCCTTCTTTTCTTTCTGTTTGTCTGTGTTATGTAAGCTTATCCGCTGCAGCTGATAATTTTGTAGGCTGAGACTCTTTCAAAATACAAGCCTCTCATCAATTCAACATCACTATTATCTGCTCTGAAGGAAGCAGAGTTCACAATGGCCCAGGCTTTAGCCAACTTCAACAGCACTAGGCATATTATTCTATATTATGAAGATCTTATCAAGAACCACACTGTAAGAACTAAACTGAGTGTTTTCTGTGTAACAAGAATTCATATAAATGCAATAATTATGAAATTCACAGTGTTAGCATTTTGTTGGTTATTGTGGTCCCCCCTACACCTTTTTTTTTTATTATTTTTTTTTTTTTTTTTTGTGGCAACTGAGAAGCAGAAAAAGCTTGACATAAAATGCTTGTATCATCAAAGACAGAAATTTTATTGGTTTTTGTGGTTCCCCCCTTATACAATTGTGACCATCATGAATCAATGAAATTTCTTGTGAAAAAGGTAAAACAACTTAATTGCAATGGATATCATTCATCACTGTTACCTGGCCTGTCAGATGATAAGGCATCACAGGTACCTTCCTCATTGTTTGCAATGAGAGTGACTTAAGGACTTGCTGTCATGAATATATTTTCTAAGAAGATCATATGACTGGATCTTAATATCTTCGCCTTTTCAGTATAATGGTCAAAACTGCCATAAGCTAAAGTTACTGATACACGGACGATCAAATGGTAAACAGGTGATGGTTGCTCTTGGGTATAGGGTGGATGGTAATATTAAGTTGATTACTTCAACATAATGCCATATGATCATTCTTACTGCAAATCTTGAGGGTATTATGTGAAAAGATTTTACAATAGTCTTTTTGGGTACCATTTGTGATTGGTAAAACTTGAGGTTTACTGTGTATAATTTCCCACTTTTATGTTTTGCCGTTTCTGAAGTGTTCTTTTTACTTATTCTTTTGCAGAAACTGGTGGACGTTCAGGACTTTCTTGGGATACCACATATGAACCTAACTAGCCGGCAAGTAAAGATACACAAAGGTCATCTGAGAGAGCATATCAAGAATTGGGATGATGTCAATAAGACCCTCAATGGAACAGCTTATGCGAAGTTCCTTCAACTTGACTATTGAACAGTTGTTATCAGCTAACAAGTGATACGGTGTATATAATGCTGATTTATAAAGTGAGCCCGGAAGCTGAGACCGAAGGCATGAAGCTTCCTTGTTGATTGGAATGTCCAACTTAATGTAACCACTTAAGTACTCTTTTGATCACCTCCCGTTTCTGTTGTCCATTATAGTGTAGAAATGTTCACAACAGTGATGTAAAGCCCCTTGTATTTTAATTATGTAGTTAGGATTATAGTATCATGCAAGTATTCTGAAATTTTGATCACATAATTCATAGGTTTTTACTGTGAAAATCAGAATGTAATTTAGAGGGAAAGGATCCCAAAGCTTGGATGAATTGTATAAACTTCTGTTGTAGTCTTGTAGACAATTCCATAAATTACAGATTGCCAATTGTTTTAAACAGGTTACGTGAAAGATGACTGCAAGGCCAAATATCAACCTAATTTAGTGAGTTGTTACTTGAAAATTCCGTACCATAGAATAGAATATTGTTGGTTTTTTTTTTTTTTCTTTTACCGAATAAAATATAGTTGAACAGTATCACATTACGAATTTACGATATTCTAGGACATTTGTAATATTCTAGTTTTTTTTTTTTTTTTTTTTTTTGCCTCTTAATTTTGAATATTCTATTTGGAAGCCAGATTTTTTTTGGAATATTCTAAACTGACCTTTCCATGCTCAAGCAAGCACAAATGCACAATTGTGTAGAGATTTTAAAGAATTCGGAAGAAATTTCATAATTATTCAACAAATATCATAATTCTTTCAAAAAAAAAAAAAAAAAAATCAACAAATTTCATAACATGCATTTCCAATGACACGATGACTCCCTCAAAAATACACAAGTTCAAAACAAGTACTCTGTAACACAATTTACTACTGACTACCAAATGGACCACAAGATTCATCCAACTTTACTTGAACCCGGTAACAAGAATAAATGAACAACTCTGAGGACTGGGTCTAAAACAAGATACTCAATGAAGTAGCAAAGCTACTATCAGCTCGTGCAATGAAACTACTTTCGAGAACGTGCACACACATGATGTTAAAGCAGAGAAGTGCACAAAACCAGCTATGTTGCTGAAGATGTAAGCACTCCAAATATCAGGGAAAGTTAGCAACTCCTCAACAACACATCAGCAAATCATGGTCACATGACAAGTGATTCATTCTACTTTCTTGTCAACTTGAATTCACCTGCAGCTCCTAGAATTGGTAAAATCAGCCAACAGAAAAGGGAAAAAAAAAAATCACAAGAATATATTTAAAGAAAAAAAAAAAAAAAAAAGAGAACTTTGATGACTAATAAAGCACTCCCGCCACCTCGACAAACATATTATATGTTTCTCTACACACAACTTGACGGTTCATATTATTTTACACGTTCAATCAACAAATTACAGAGTAATATACTCTATGAAGCAGGCTCTAAGGATCCATGTGAACTCCCAAAATTGTACTTGTAAAACGCAAGTTGCTAGCTTTATAGAATATCCGACAGTACAGAAGCATATAGCATATTCAACTGAATAAACAAAGGACCAGGACAAAATTCGACTATATCTGTGCTTAACAGAGAAATAATACCTTTTACCATATGGGCAGTTTTTGCGGCTGGAAATAGCAGCCGGTGAAATGCCAAAGTCGACTCTTAATTTAAGATACCTTCAGCATCCTCAGATATTTTTTAGTTGGAAAGCTGGAAGCCTGACAAGAAAGTTTGTTCAGCTGTCTAAAGGCACCAAGTAAGTAAATCATCAGTCCTAGTACTGTGATACATGCAATATCAACGTCTCTCTTCCGAAGATCTATTCTGCATAAGTTCAAAAGGTTTCAGACTGTCATGATGTCATCTAAATTTGCAAACAGCACAAAATATATGCATCGATAGTGAAATGAAGAATGGCTTCATTGTATCTTAACGAGACGTGAGCCAGAGCATAAATAAATAATAGAGCACACAAATTTTAATTTGCACTTGAGCACTTCAAAGTAAATAATGTAGTAATTACAAGACTTACAAAGACCTTTCATATATACCAGAATCATTAACAATCCACTTCAGTTCATCTGAAAAAAACTATCAAATCTCCAAAGATAGTACCCTCTTACTTCCACTTAAACTTCACCTTTTCTTTAACAACTCGCTCAGTAGTAATGTAGTACTAGTAATGGGTGTGTGGAATCAAGACATCATGCTTACTAATGGGACGTTTCTAAAGAGTTGAGAATATAGGAAGGCAGCCAGCAGAGGTCAATATAAGGTGGCTCCAAGTCTGGCAGACTGACAGATTTCATTCCCCAGGGGAAGGTTCGGCTTTAAAAAGCATGAAAGTGAAAACTAATACCACCATATGTTGGCCCGAAGACCATAAAAACCACGATAGCCACCATATCAACCAAAGACCCCTATCACTATATATCCTTCAAGTGCAACCAAAGACCCATACAATAAAAAGTTAGTAATTACCAAATTGGTATCTATTCCTCAAGTAACACTGCATAGGCACTCTGAAAGGACAAATAGTAGTGTATGGGTATTGTATTATGAGATGACAGTTGGAATTAAAAGAGTTGGTTAAGACACTAGATAACATGAAACGGAGGGAGTAAAAAAAACAAGAATCGAATTTACCATTTCACCTCCCACCAGGCCACAATTGTCATTCCCACTAACCCTACAAACTATCTACTATTGACTTTTCCATCACACGACTCTTCCCATATTGCTTTCCTTATCGTAGACAAGGGCACAAGGCGATACTTATTTGGAGCAAGAGAATGAAGTACCACACCTTTATCTTAGCACCTCAAATGAAGCTGCCGCAAAGCAGTCACTGAGTCACATGTGCACAACACATCTTGGATTCCAGAGTTGTTTACATTCATTTAATGGAAAAGACATTTACAACTACTACAAAAATATAGATCCCAACAATGTTATATGCAATCCTTACCCCAAAGCAGAATAAACCAGTAGTTTTTTCCGATGATTGGAAAGGTAAATGTTTAGCTTATCAGTTCCAAACAGCTAGGAAGTGAAAGTAAACATCATAGTGAAAGTTGTGAAGTCATTGCATAGTGACTCTTCAAACGTTGTTTATAATGGACGAGAATGAAAATATTTATTACATATACAATTAAGTATGAAATATATATATATATATATATATATATATATATATATATATATATATATATATATATATATATATATATATATATATATATATAAAGTCAAGCAATGAACAAAGTGCATCACGCATGCATTAATCAAATCCTGGCCCCCACCCCTAACCACTCAAACATATACAATATGTACGTAAGGGAATCTCCAAGGTGGCTGGAACTGGTATGATGGTCTCAACTTTCAAGGGTTAGTGTTCAAGTACTATAAATATGACTAGAAGTTGAAAGGTAAGAGCATCTTGCTCTGCTTGCTTACTTAGACACTAAAGAAGTAAAGAGCCTAAAACTTCCTTTTTCTCCTTCCTCACTTCAAACTTGAAATGGGCTGCAATAATTTGATAATTGCTTGTTTCATTCTGGCAATGCTTTTCCACCAAAATATTCAGTTTGTCCAAGGCAGGCAACTGAGATTAGGGAATACCAAAGATTTCCAAAAGTTTCATATTCACCAAGAAACAAAGGTAACCATAAAAACCCACATAAACATGCATGATGACAATCCAGATAGAGTAACAAATGCTTATGAGCTCCAACATACAGCTCCAGTTCAAGTCACTGATGAATCTCAGTCACCACCAGGTCCACCGTCACCCCCTGGTCGCTTAGATGATTTTAGACCCACAGCCCCAAGTCACAGCCCCGGTGCTGGACATTCACTTCACAACTAGGTCATTTACATGCCAGAATAATTGTATACCTGCAAGTTCAAGCACCTCTAACATGCATTTGATCAACTATATATGAAGTCAGTTCTTTTATTCTATGTTCACCCATTTGCGTTTATTTTGTGCCATACTTGTGTCAAGATATTATGCATGCATGCAGTATGGGACTCAATCCATTTTCCAAGTCTATTTCCTTACCCGCCAATAACTCCAGCTCGGGGTAACCATATGACTCGACAAATTCAGCTAAAATACAAAGTCTAATTGCATATCATAGTACTTAAATCACCCACTTCTAAATATATAACAAATGAGTGAATGACCTAGAAGTTTTGAGCAACGAGCTTCCAATCTCCCCACAATGTTTATATAACAGTTTCAGGGCAACTTGATGATCCAAGTATTTTAATTACTCACCATTATGAATTTTCTGAACACACCTAAAATACAAATAGGTGAGTTAGTATTAAGAAATTTCTAAAAATCACCACAAGAAAATTTTCACACTCCTACAACGCTCTTATGCTTGACCATGATAGAGAGAGAGATTACTAATCTGAGTCTTGCAGGGCAAATGGAGCACTAACAATTATGCATGGTAAAAGAACACAATCTATCAAACTTCAAAGAGCACATGGTTTTTCAAAAAAAGCCCCAAGACACTTTTACCACAAAATGTATCCAGGCCCTGGACAGTGCAATAGTATTTCACCGAATGCAAAAACAGATCGCATAAAAAAGAGTTTGCAGGTGAACAACTATGCCAAGTTGACTGCACTTCTACGCCAATAACATGAAGTAATAATAAGCTCTTTATTTACCTCAACTACATAGAGAAAGTAAAAGAAAATTTTCTAATGCAGAGAAAAACTAAGACTGAGTACATAACCTGTGATACCTTCACAAGTATCCACCTACTTCTAAAGGTCAAAGACTCAACGGGAACAATTTCAACATTTGCTCCATAGTTATACCGTACATAATATTGATACTTAATTTCCCAGATGATTAAGCCTAGCATTCCAAATTTCCAAGTACAATATCACTTCTCCAATAAGACAAAAGCTAGAGGCTTGCCTTATCATTCAAGGCCTTCTCGTCTTTTTAGTTTTTATTACTGGTCAACAAGTTATTCAAGCATTATTGACTATGTTATATAGGCTTGGGTATGATACATTTCCATTGTCGGGACTATGCAATATTGTCAAATGGATATGCTCTAGTCAACAAGTTAGTCAAGCATTATTGACTATGTTATATAGGCTTGGGTATGATACATTTCCATTGTCGGGACTATGCAATATTGTCAAATGGATATGCTCTAGTCAACAAGTTATTCAAGCATTATTGACTATGTTATCTGGGCTTGGGTATGATACATATCCATTTGTCGGGACTATGCAATATGGTCAAATGGATATGCTCTAGTCATCATGTACCTCCCCTCCCCCTTCTCCTTTAAACAAACCAAAAACAAAAAGTTAGCATCAACTGAGCATGTTCAAAACGCTCAAATATGGTTAAAACATCTAAAGGACAATCATACATCCCAGACTTTAGACTTTCATGTCTCGTAGTCTCATTCACAAGTGTATCACTTAATTCTCTGGGAAAAAGCTCAATAAGGATCCTATGCGCAAGGCATTGTTGCAAGAGTTTTTCTTTTAAGTTGCTTTTAAAATTCCTTCCTTGCCTTGTTTTGAATGCAATTAGAGTACTTATTGTGCCATTCATAATGTTAGAAAATTTGGTGTACATAGTATAATCACTAAACCTTTTATTACTAAAATTTCCAATTATGGTCCATCTATATTCTGGGAAGTTTGTAAGATTCTAGTTTTTTATTAAAAATAATTTGAGAAATTGCAAGTATCAACCAAGAGATAGCAGAAATGGCCTTGATTCTTGAGTTAATAAAGTTGGATGTCATATTATTTGACTCACTTATTATACACTCTTGTTCTACATAAATATACAAAAGTAAGTGAGTGTAAGGAAAAGAAGGATAATGTAAAAGCAAATGGAGAAATAGGTGGGTGAGTGTATAAATAAATGTACTTCCTCCGTTTCAAAATAAATGTCTCATTTTGACTTTCTGCACTATTCACATAATCCACTTTGACCAATGTTATTGGTCATGGCATACGTGCCGAGTCAAATTGGGGCATTTATTTAAATACAGAGGGAGTATAAAGTACGAGAGAATGAGTGAAAAAGTGTACGTAAATAGTGTGAGATAAGAGGGTAAGGTAGAAACTGCCAAAAATGAAATAAAGTTAAGAGTGATTCAAACTTTCTAAAACACACCAAAACAGAAAGTGAGTCAAATTTCAGAAAAGAAGGGAGTATATTGATTCTAGTATTGTTTATTATTCTACTCATTAAAAGCTTCCAGAAGTTTGAATAAAATCACTTCATGGTATAAACTTACAAATTCTTCCATGCCCATCTAATATTTTGTGAGCACATAAAAGTCTTGTGGACATGACTCAAAGAGTTCAAAATAAGTTTTATCTACAGTCGGTTTAGTCTATAATTGAAATGGTATAAACATATGCTGGGTGACAATTTTAAAGACCACTAGAAGATTTAAGGGACTTCCACAACCTAGGTGTGGCAGATAATGGTCACCTATTAAATTCCCAACATTAACAAATTGCACTCGTATTGTTAATCAATGACAATCAATCTTAGGTCTTGTATTGTAAACAATCTCAGTAGTAATTGATTTGAACCAACAAGGCATCCTATCTAATTGGTGTAACATTCTCATCGGAATAAGTTGTGGCCTTCACATGGGAAAGCAAACACAATTTTCATTCCAATGTCACAAATAAAGGAAATTTAAAGCTAGATCGAGAAACTTCTTAGGGAGTAAGAAGACTATGATAGTTGCTAGGCACATTTTCTCAATACCTAACTATTTTCCAAGACATAGCATGCAAAGTATGGCCTATGTTATTTCATGTATCTTAACTCCTATAACCACCAAATGATAACCCAAATGGTTTCCTCAGCTGAATAAATCTTTAACACACACAAAAGAGGATGCGTGTAGGTGAAATAAAGTCTAATTCATGATCCCCAAATACTAGTCTTGTATATAATAAGGTTAAGACGCAAGGCCCTCAACATGGACCATATGCTTTTTTCTATATCTAGGTGAGGCAGTTTTAGTGAGGCGCAAATTATTAATGACTGAACGAAACCAAGAAATAACCCCTCACGTGCAAAATCATAGAACATCCCCTTTAAGATCAAAGAATTCCATCAATTGAACATACTTCTTTCTAGATTATTTTTCTTATTTATCAGGGAATATCGACTCAGTGCACCATGAGCCTTTATATATATCGCTCTAGTGAATATAGACTGATATTTCTATTGGGCTAACATGGTTTTTACAGACAAACTATTGACATTAAAAATACACCGCAGTCTGGAGTCTGGACAATCTCAACGCAAAGAAGAGGTCATAAGCTAAACAAGCAAAAAAATCCTTCCTAGCCAATACCATCTTTTTTGCTAAACATTTGTCCTCATAAGATGATTCTTCTAGTATCATAGAACTTGCTCTCTCGTAGTGGTATATATTCTCTTCAATATGGTACAATTCATATTAAACGTCTAAGGGAACAAGTATCTCTCTACACACTCAATATATACAGCATTTACAGCTAGCTACTTCCATTATCTTTCACCCATCATCTAAACTTGTTTTTACAATCAACCAAGAAATACATTTTTATCACAACAATGATATTCGCCCCTATTCTAAAGTGTCTTTTCAATCTCAGGAAAATATAGTTCAAGAGAATCATCTTCAAAAAAAATTTAACAGCAGCAATAATAGCGCATTAAAGATATTGTAATGAGTCTGCTAAGATGCAGCTTTTTTACCTTACAGCAGCAGCTGATGCGATGTTGTGAATAATGTCAACTTACTGAGTCCCACTTTACTACTTTTGGCATGAGTTGATCTGGTGAAGCATTCAAAATACTTTGTAAATTTACTTGCTGGAAATTCCTGAAAACAAAGAGGAAGCTTTTCTTACAAGGAAAACCTTTCCATAAAATCAGACACAGCTTATAAGGATGTATTTTGGACAGTTTGGTATATTCAAGACAAAATAAAGCTTCACCATGCTTCCTTATCATGCAATAAATAGATGTATCATTGTCTTCCTGATTTACTGATTCGTATTTTCCCCTCTTCAGAATTCATACGATCATTAAGAATAAATAATGGGAGTTATTCACATGAGCTATATGCATTTATCGCCAGAGTTTAACAGCAGATGAAAACAATAAAGGATGTGTAAGGTAAAAGCATACCCCCTTTGCTCCACAGGCACGTATGGGTTAGGGAAAAGAAGTGTTTTTTAATAAATGAACTTTTTTTTTTTTTTTTTGAAACATAATAAATGAACTTATAGATAAAAGAAGTGAGAATGAGGTATAATAAAGAGAAAAATATGGATGGAATGAAAAATGGGAAAAGGTAACAATTCGATTTTGATTTTTAACATTAATTTGAAAATTGTGACATTTATTTTAATAAAGTCCAACATAACTATATAAGTGTAAAGTACATTATGAAATAGGTGGAGTAAATCTACATAAAATTATCACTATAAAGCACAAGATCTTGTCTGGGGCAGAAAAGTTGCCACCACACAAGCACCTCAAAAGGTTGATGTGATGCACTAGCCTCAAAATACACTATAGCCTACCAAATTAGTAATGGTTAGCACAATATCCTAGCACCAAAAAAAATTCAAGCGGCGATGTTACTATATTATGTTATTGCACCTTTTCAACTACTGTGAAGAGCCGTCCCTTTGCATGATTATTATTAAACCATAACTAAAACTGATGAGAAAATTCCTAAACCTGAGGAAAAGCCTACCCCTGTCCCCACTGCAAAAATCTCTATCTTAATTATTCCCCAGGGAAACAGAAAGATCACAGGAAATCAAGGATCTTTAAGAAGTCCAAATTTGCTCCATTGGACTAATATAAATCAAATGCAAATAGTATACATCATGCCATGACGAGTAGTGGTCGGGACCCCCCCATAACTTCGATGATTTTGAATGGACTTTTAGTCGGTTATAATATGATTAATAGTACAGGTATCATTCATTATATGCACCAAGAACTAATGCACCACAAACGCTGGAAAGGAAAGAAAACAGGGATTTCAACGTTAAACAGTGGATACTCAGCCAAAGCACATACATGAAATGAAGAAGCATTACCATGGACATTCCCATGTAAGTTTTGTTGTAACACTAAATATAATTACTGCTTACTAAACAGATGAAAATTAATACTCATCATCCCTAAAAAAAAGACATATATCTTTTGGGTGCACAATTTCTGAAGGGGATATGAGAGGTATTATTGACAAAAGTTAAAAGGAATGTAGTGGAAATAAATTTACTTTAGGGGATGAAAAAAATATTGGTGAAGTTCGAGGGGTTTGTTGATTAATAGTATAAACAACAACAATAAAGGCTTAGTCTCAAAATGATTATTAGTATATAATAATAAAAAATAATTAAAAAAAAAAATTAAAATTGGTGTATGGCTAGATGATGGACTCCGCTCAAATGGAAAATAAGGCTAGGGACAAAATTTTGGGAGAAATAAGGTTTTTATTTAGAGACAGTGAATATGAAACAACATGGTACAAGAATAACTACAATCTTTACACACGGAAACCACAAATGTGCTAACAAAGATTTCACATCACAGTACAGGGGTATCAAAAACCTAAACAACTAATAGTGATTGAGAAAGAATGTCCAATAGAATGGATGGTTAACAAGGAGCAAGCCGAAATTTGACTTATACCTGCGGTCAGGAGCATGCTTCCAAAAGTTCCATAGAATATATTAGACTTTTACCATCTTTGGTGACCATCCTTGTATGAGCTATCAAGTGTCCAATTTTTTATGGAATCCTGAAGTTTTTTCCAAAATGTAAGTGTACTTTGTTAGAACATGAAGTGGGTATTCTACAAATTCAAAACAATTAATAGAGAATAAAGTAGTGATCTATTTGAATCTCACCTCAACAGAATTATGCCTTGCACATATATATCAAAATACTAATCTTATTAATCCTCGCATCAAGGTATCAACTACAGTTTAAGTGCGCAGAATAACACCAACTAAAACAGGCGTATAGGGCTACAGGCTACACCAATAATTATTTCGGTGAGCACAACCGCATATCACTATACATTCAAATAAATCCCCACCTTCACAACGACCTTCATAATATTCCATCATTTCCTTTCCCAAGCCTCGATCCTGTCTTGCATCACAAAAAAAACAACAACAAAGCCTTAGTCCTAAAATGATTTGGGGTCAGCTAACATGAATCGTCGTTCATATCATTAGTTTAACCAAATATGTGTATCGTAGTCTCATAGAAGCCAAATACCTTAAACATTCATTGAGATTCTAAAATCAACTAAAGTTATCTAAAATAAATAGCAAAGAAAGCACAGCAGAATGTACAAAGAAAAATAGACCAATAACAAGAATACAGGATGAAAGGATTGGAGACAAAAAGTACTCTCAATCACATGCCAGATGAATCATCACACTATAAGTACCGTACTTGCAAGTGAGCATGTCACCAGAAATTTGAACAAACAAAGCAACTGTGAAGCATAGATACTGCTTTGTGATTTTTTCTGAAGCATAGATTTCCTTTTATATATGTGATGAATATATATTTAAAATTACGACGAACCAAAGGAAAAAGAAAAATGTGCAGTATTAATCATCCATCTAACAGCTAAATAGACACCTCAGTCAATAACTTTATCAACATTACAAAAAACAAAACATGGCAGTTGTGTGATGTATCTCGCATTCTCACCTTAAGCATGGACCAAGAATTCCAAGGGATGCTGCCATCCATCCATATAAAGGGTGATTATACTGCTCCAAGTGGGTAGTACAAGGAAATCCCCGCATTGTTGGTATAATTTTGTGATGGATCTCTCTGCTTCCGTAACTCACAAGTCATAACCATCGAATAACAATCTTCCACTCCTCAGCCAATCTCTTTTTTAAAAAAATACATTTGACTTTCCTATAAAAGTGAAAAGAAAAAGGCAAAATTTCATGAAAGGATCAGAATTTAAACTAGTACTAAAGTGTTTGTTACATAAGTATCACCAAAAAGGCTGAGAATAGTGGCCCGATCTCTAATAAGAATAATGTAAGACGAAAACAAAAAAAATTGCAAGAAACAGCAAAAACAGTCACCTTGAGCTGCACCAGCATTTAGTAAGGAAGCCAAAATGCACAGGACCTAGCACCCGGCACTCTGGCAGACTAACATGCAAGATGAGCAACGCACAGTGACACAGAAAACACAAACCAGAGAGGGTGACCAACAATAATAGGAGAAAGGTGGCGGAGGTCAAATATAGAAAAGTTTTGCAAAGGACATATTAGCATTTGTTGTAGTAAGATCAATCTAACAATCCAAAAAGGGATAAGATTCTAAAGTCCCTAATGTGCTTCAACCTTTGTAAATGAAGCACAATGGAAAATCAAACTCATCAATACCTCCTTTGAAACCATGGTGAGAAATTTTATTGCTCACCCAATCATCATGTAAAGCCTCCAATTACTCCCCAGACATATCAAGAGGAATAGGGAAAACAGAATTCCATAAAGTCAACAGGTTTTACAAACAAGCGCCAACTTAAGTCTTAATATACCAAACTTCTATTCTCCACATTCTTTGGAAATATACCAGTATTCTGCTCTAGTTTCCGAAAATGAAGATACAACTACAGGGAAGACCATATAATATAACATAATTTTAAAATTTGATTTCTAGCAATCAACTATATCAAGAATACTCTGTTTATATAAAATTGTTGGTATATCGATGATTGAAACCTATCATATAACTATATCACATAGCCAAAACATGGTTAGGGTCAAAACCTATTGCTATGACTGTATCCTGCAAGGCCAAAATGAAGATGTTACCTACTTTATAATCCCCCAAGGACTATGATCTGAAATGAGTGAAACAATGATACGCTTTAGGAGTATTAGTAACAAAATTACCATATTGCATTCCCGTACCATTCTGCATACAAAAGTGTACTGTGAAATGGATTACAGTACTCCAAGCCATTTTAGATGATTTCTGGTCAATCAACCTGTCTGCCCGTACTTATGCCTATAATGTTTTACTTTCAGAAACTTTTTACGGCTAATATTGCATAACTTGACGCAAAAATTACAAAAAATCAGATTTTAGACCAAAAATGGTTAAGCTTTAAAAATCTATGTGTATGTAAAAGTGTATATGTGCATATCTTAAATTATGATTTAAAATTAGGACCTCTTAGTGGGGACCCTTCCACAAAAGCAAATTTCAAGTTCACCCTTAACATGTTTAAGTAGGAAAATGCTAGCTAGTGGTCATGATATTTTTTGCCCATCATATTATCTATATATATCCAAGCTAAGACCTCTTGTAAATCATTGCACAATACTTCCTCTCCCTAACCTTAAGTTTTCTCCAAGTACTGAAATTTCCATAGCAATTTCAAGAGCTGCAACAACCATAAAAAGCCCTCTTCAATCACAATTATAATAAATAAGTCCTCTTCTCTAAGCATGGCTAAAATTTCATGCATGATCACTCAAGCATTTCTGCTAATTATCTTTACCAGTCAATTTCTATATGGTGAAGGGAGACCTATAAGGTCACAAAGTGGAAAAGAGACCAAATATGTCCCGAGCCACTCCCATAGAGGCAACCAAATTTATAATTCTGACCACAATGAAACATCACCAAAGAAAAATACTCCACAGAAAAAATTAGCTGAAACTCCTCCAACTGAAATACATAAAAAGAATTTCCCCTCCTTGAATTCTACTCAAAACTCCCCAAGCAGTCACAAGTTTGATTCATCTGGGGTAAACAGAGTAGACAGCAGTGTGCAAAGCAACTGTCTTGGTGTAAAATGCTCAGATGATTTTAGACCTACAGCACCAGGACACAGCCCTGGTGCGGGTCACTCTTACATGACTAACACAGACAAATCCTCACCAAACCAAAAAACTAAAAATCCTGAAATTTGGAATAGCTTGGAAGGATCAGAAGATGGTTTTAGACGTACTACACCAGGTCACAGCCCAGGTGCGGGGCATGCTGAAGAAGACAAGGAGGATCCAAACCTTACAGCTGCAGGAGTACCCTCAACATCAAGTCCTACCTCATTTTTCAGTGATTCAGCACAGTTATCTACCGATGATTACCAACTTACAACTCCTGGAGGCTGTCCTGGTGCTGGCCATCTTGACAAAAACAAAATGGGTGTACAGAAAACAGGATTTTGTCTTAGTGAAATATGCACAGATGATTTCCGACCAACAAAACCAGGGGACAGTCCTGGGGCTGGTCATCTCCATATTAGCGACTCAGACAGCATTGCATCAAAACAACGCAAGCACCCTGGTGTAGAACATCCCCATGCAGAAGGAACAGATGATTACCGGCCTACTAAGCCTGGCCACAGTCCAGGTGCTGGCCATGCTGCTTTAGATAAGCAAGAGACAAACTCATAAAATACAAAATTCATAATGATTTCTACTTACAGTTAATATATAGCTCTAAAGTAGAAAGGTCCTAAGAGATACAGATGTAATATATGTAAGTTGTACTATGTAATCAAATATTTTTAGAAAAAAATTATTGTAAACTTCGAATCATCATTTTCCCTTCCTTTGTCCTAATCAACAAGTCAGTCAATATTCAGTTTACTTCCATAAAATTAAGCAAACAAAAAATTCGGCAGGTCAGATTTTAAACGATCTCCTCCACCCCCAAACACTTAAAATGATAGTTCATCAATTTTTGGAAGCTTGAAGAAGAAACAGGGTCAGATTTCAAATTACATACAATTCCATGCCCTAGGCCATCACTCATCATTTAACCACCCAGTATCAGTCCCAGCCATCACTCATCATCTAACCACCCAGTATTAATCCCAAAAGGCAAAATATGGGGAGGTACAGAGGAACGCTTTAATCATAACTAGTCAAAATCAATTAGAGACTGTAAACCAGTACACATATTTTTTGTAAAAAATAAAATCTTTACTTGGAAAACCAAGGTGATAAAAACCTTCTAACTTTTCAAACATTATACCTCAGCAGAAAATGTAGCTAGTGTATGTAATTAATGTCAGCAAACTTTCATTTTCCCTTCCTTGTCCCAACCAACAGTATAAGGGTGGTACCATAAGCACCTGAAAACCTCCTCCCCTCCAAAACACCATAAAAAATTAGTTGTTGATCAATTGTATGGTACAGGACACTTCGCTACACATCCAAAAGCACAACCCCCCACCCACCCCCCCTGAAGTAATGTTACATGAATATTATAAATTCCATGACTAAATCCTCAAAATGAACCTCAATTCCCTTTCTTCTAATCATATACACACTCTGTGGATCACAAGTTCAAAGATTTCTTGCATTTTGTCCTGAAAGTAAAGTAACATTCTCGTCGAGCAAGGTAGTAAATAGATAATCGAAATCTCTAGCTGCCAATTCAAAGCTTCACCAAAAGCAATTGTCGAACAGGACAAAAAAAGTCAAGTGGGAGATGAGATTGGCCGAATGAGACAAGCTTGCAAAGAATAACATAATGCATACAACATTCACAATACTCCTTCTGTCCAAGATCAAATGGTCACATTATCCTTCCTTTTCATAATTCAAGATATTGTCTTTACCAAGAGACCCTTTTATATAACATTTATAATTATTATTTTGACACTCTCTCTTTGTTACTCAATTCAAGGAAGAAGTTCTTGGAAAATCTTTGCAAACCAAAACTTTATACAAATTATTTTCCTGGATATCCAAAAATGGAAAATTTGTACACATAACTATCATTCCTAGACATAAGGAGTATAAAAGCATTATCAATGAAACAAAGGAGTGAGTTAAAAACACACCCTAAAATTTTTAGATAAATAACTTATTGAAAAAATAGGTATTCATGTATAATGTTATAAATTTAAATCAGTTACAACCACGAATAATATAATAAATCAGGATTATCACGTAATAATTCCATTTCTAAATTTAAAACAGCTTAGTACTAGAAAATGCAGCTTGGTTTGAATGGTGAAATCTTACACAGTTAATCAAATTAATTAAACAAGCAATCTAGTGTCTATATGGCTACACAAACACTCCCCCACACAAAAGGATGCCAGGACCAAATGTAAGCCACTCATATCATATGATTGCAAAGATTTTGTACTAATAAACTCCAATTGACAAAAGGCATTGACCAGCCTACTGCTTTACAGTAAAATAAAAACAAAAAAAAACAACTTTATTAATTTATCATTAAACTATTATTAATCCTTTTTAATATAAAACCGAAAAATGTCCAGCAGCAACTTTTTCCAACTCAATTAAAAATGAAGAACCAACTGAAATTGGAAAGAGACGCCTATTTACATCTGAAAGTTGACATCAACCATCAAAAATTCAATATATTCAAATCTACGATATAAGCTGCTTAAAGTTGTGGTACCAAAAATATTTCATGTGGGGTAAAAAGTACATCTTTTACCATAAAAAGTTCAAAGCATCGTAACACCATTATCACTTTATAATTTAAAATTGCTAACTAGAAGAATGTTTGCTTTAAACTACATCTAGCAAATTGGCTATACAGATTAAGTGTTAATCGGGTTAATTCGGTCTGGATTATATTCAGGTGATGATCATATTCGAGTATGTACATACTCACGCGGACACACCTTAAACCAATAAAATTGGATTAATTTCTGCTTCGGCCAAAAGCAGATCATCTTATTTTGGATACAGTTTATAACTCGAATCAAGTAATCGGATACGAGTCAGCATGGAATTAAAAAGAATTAACCGACAAGAACAGTCAATCAAACACTTTTTAACAACCCAATTACAAAAATGAGGGAAGGAGAAAAAAGAGGTATAAACATTAACAAAAAAGAATCTCCACTAAAGCATCTACATTAGTATTCCGTATCAAATGAGAGCACATGGTGAAGACAGCTAACTCAGAACCTTTTTTTTTCCAAATTCCAATCAATTGTAAACATAAAATACTTCGAAATTCGATCATCGCACATTCGCACATTGAATAAATAACATTATTTATAGATTGAAAAAGAGTGAGCTAATTACCACAAGTAGAAACCCTAAGAGAATCAATGTGATTGCAAACAAATCAAGAAAGATTTATAGAAAATGACCTGGTGATTCTTTGATGTAATCTTCGTCACTTCCAGACCAATGAACATTGCATATGAATTGGGAATTTTGCTTTAATCTGTTTGTTCTTTACCCTTGTTTCTGCGGTTTAGAGGATACTCGTACTCTCGTAGTCCCCGTCCTTTTGAAATTGCACCCAAAATTTACTTCCTCCGTTTTAAAATACTTACTTCGTTTTAAAAAATTATAAAAAGCAAAACTAGTTGAGATAGTTGGAGGAGAGAAAATACAAAAATTAATAAAAGATAATTTAGGTTGAGTGCACTAATAGAGAAAAATGAATTAAGTATTGTAAAAACTTTTCAAATAAGAAAATAAAACAAGTATTTAAAAACGGTTAGAAATGAAAAGTGGTGCAAGTATTTAAAAATGGAGGGAATTATACGAAGTGTCATAATCACCGTATGCCCATATAATTATATGGTATAAACTTAAGGACGAACTAAACAAAAATTGAGGCAAAGACGCATAGAGTAAAGACTAAAGAGTATGCACTTGCCTGAGAAGGATACTTTTTTTACAAAATAGAAGGATAATTAATTGAGGTAAGATGCGAAAATATGAAGTATTAAAATTGGGATATAATCCGATGTACGAGTGCTAAATGTTGATGGAACAAATTAACACCCTAATACTGAAATGAGGTAGAACAAAAAAACAAAGAGAATATTTTCAAAGATAATGAATATCAGTGATATTTTTTCACACACCCACCAAAATATATTATCATTTATAATTAATTTTTGGTGTATTTGTGAGTTGTGACTACTAGTTAATACTAGTATTATCAAGCAAACATATAGTTGTTACACTTTGATGATGAGTATTAAAGGAGCAGTTTTATCAAAAGAAAAATTGATAATTGAAGTCCTAAGATTGATTTTATTCACTGTCAGTGACCTAACACTTAGATCAATAACTTTAGACATGAACTTTAGATTGACAAATTGTGAGCTCCCAAGTCCCATGGTGGTGGGCAAATCAATGGATGCATTTGCTATAACAATTGAGCACAAACCTTCAAGAAGGTTATATGACTCTTTTTACTTCACATACAATTAATACAAGTATAAAACTAATGTACATAATGTTGCCTTAACTAATGTACATAACTTGGCAATTTTTTAGAATCTTATTTTTCGTATAGGTTATTACAAATGTAAAATTGTCTCTATTTCAATTACCAATAATACATGTTTTCTTTTGGAAGTTACTAATGCCACCATAAAAATGCTCATGACGCCATATTAAATGAATTACTAAAACTGCCGCTAAATTTAAAGTAGAATGTACGTAGACACTATAAAGTCATAGTACATAGATCGAGGAAATAGTGTGATATATAGTAGTAGAACTAGTAAAAAAGTTATAAAGTCGACTTCATTAAAGCAAAAGAAAAGAGGTATATGAACAGATTAAAGTGCATAAAATATATTGTATTAGTGTTAATGATTAATTGAATTGATTATACATGGAGTAGCATAAGTTGACGGTAGTGATCACGTAGCAGGAAATTGCACTTTGCATGTCATTTTCAGTGAATGATCAGCCGCAAAGTTGGGAATTGAAGGAATCCCTCTCCTCGTTGGAATCTTCACACGACAATCAAATCTTGGCTGTCAAATTTTCATTAGATTCTACTAATGACAAAGCCAAAAGCGACATAAATGCTTGGAGAAACCAATCAAAATAAGGAGAAATTATATTAGTTAAATTATTGTTAATTTATACATTAAAAATATATACAAACAAAATGCAAAAAATACCCTTTTATTTACTCATTTCGTCTTAATCATAGTATTACCTTTTTCACCCTTTATTTTATTTTTAATTATAAAAATTGATCGCTATACTTTTTTTTTTAATGGAATTGATCGCTATACTTATTTTACTAAAGAGAATCTTCTAAAATACATATGTAGTACGAAGTAATCCGTATTCCTGATATATAAGAAAAGTAATAGTCATATAAGAACATATTTTTATAGATTACTTCTTATACATCGCTATTGTATTTTAAAAATATATTTCGTTTATGTTTAGCACAGCTCTTATCAATAATCAATCAATCAATAATCAATAACTTAATACTAAAACAGACACTGGGAGTGGTGACATGTGTCACATCTGGTGTTGTTTTTTCCCTCCAACACTCCCCTTCCTCTTTTAGCAAAAAATATTTTATTTTTGGAATATTTTTATAATAAAACTATAATAATATTATTTCAAACTTATATATTATCTCTATATAAAATGTATTCCTTTTTATTGTGTTCTAAAATTTTCCATGCACATTTACCTAAAATAATTTTTCAACTTCTTTTTAATTATCTTTTAAACGAGTATTATTGAGTTTTACCAAAAAAATAATAATAAAATTGATTCATATCGAAGTGATTGGTATTAAAGAAATTAATTTAAAACATCTCTTAAAAATTGTTTTCAAATTCCTTTTTATTTTGTTTATTAGACTAATGGAGTATTTGATATGACCATAAAATAAATGTTGTGCTCGACAACTATATTATATGTCAAATTCGAAAAAGTAAAATATCAATCAATTTTTTGCTATTACATTAATAAAAAAAAAAGTTAATATCTTAGTAAATACAAAAAAGTTATTATCTTTTGTTGAAACACTTTATTGAGATAATAATTTTATCACATTCGACATTCCTAAATAAGCTGCATTTTAAAAAAAAAACACGTCGGACATAGTGACAAGTGACATATTCTTGTTTTTTTTTTTTTTTTGGATGAATAGCTATCATTGACAAATAAAACTTTAAGGCAATAAACAAACAATGATCAAACTAGAATTATTGGATAGCTTTCAAACACATTTAATAACAAAGAGCGACGATATCATGTAGAACATCAATCCATAAACAGAAAATGTAATACTAATAATATAGGTTAGTGTTGGCTAATTATTAATTGTTATTGCTTTTAATGATCTAAATAGTATTTATTTCCATTTAAATTATTTTATTGGATATAAAGATGATATATTATTTAATTTGTAATTTATATATTTACATGTATGTTGTGTCAATAGTTTTACTGTAGATTTTAGTTTGTTGTTTGATTAATGTTTTGATGTTTATTAAAAGGCATCTATAAATAAGTCTTTAGTCATATAGTCATTAGTGTATAGTTTTATTAGGAATAATATGCATTATTTATGTAATATAATGTATACTACTTTTAAATATTTTCAACTCAACTAATCAACAATAATTTTTTTTCTTTCTCAATTGTAGTTTTAATGAATTTTGCCTTATTATTTTATTTTTCTATATACATTGCATTTGTTTATTCCACATGAGTTGCCTCATTTTTATATTATATCAAAATTCATTATGATGAGAAAAAGATTATTACTACCATGCATCACACGAGCACTAATCTAGTTAGGACTATATTAGTAGCACTGACGACAAATAATAATTTTATTTAAATTATCAATTCAACTTAATATAATAATATTATTTTGGAAATTTCTTTATTAGTTGATGCAACCAACAACACCTTGAATAGTTTACTATATCACCTTTTATGTCCCCTTCGTCCTTCAATTCTGTAATCTGTCATTATGGTCTAGTTAGTGTCCTTAATGTCTTATTATGCCCCTAAACTAAGTTCCTTTATATTACCATGTGCAAGGCCTTAGGAATTAGTTCCAACTAGGGGTGCTAAACGAGTTGAGCAGTCGTGAGCTGCTTAAACTCTATTGGTCAAAGTTCTATCAAAACTCGGCTCGAGTTGGCTCGACTCAATATGTTAACGAGCACGAGTTGAACAAGCTGTAACTCGAGTCGATAAGCTCGTGAGCAACTCGATACTATATATTATTTATATAGAATTTACAAACAAAGTTAACATGTTTAAACAAATTTGACACTTAATAAGAGTTAATTTATATTATTAAAAAAAAAAGAGTAAATCTTTAATAATTAATAAAAGAAATAAAAGAAAACAATATAAAGTGAACAAAAAAAAATAAAGGCCTGCAATTTTAAAAGGGGCAAAACTTTAACGAGCAGATCGTGAGTTACTCGACTTGACTCGAAACTTTAACGAGCATGAGTCAAGCAGGTTTTATTAGCTCGAAACTTTAATGAGCATGAGTTGAGCACATATAAAAAGTTTTTAAGTCGAGTCGAGCACCCCTTAACTCGTGATCGACTCGCTCAATTAGCACCCCTAATTCCAACAAAGCTTCACTGTAAAAATTCAAGGTTGTCTAAAGACATCTTTCCTCATGCTCCGGAATATTCTATGCAAGGATAGATTTTATATAAAGTACGACATTTTCGTATAATATCTTTTACTTTGTTTTACAAAATTACATGTATTTAAAAAATCAAGTACCAACTTGTTGTTCATCATTGATTTTTTTAATTTCTTTCCTTTATCTATTATATTTTTTTTAGAGAAGGTATTGGGTGCGGACTGTTGCACGTAAATTTCCGTGCGACAGGCATGGCTGATTTGTTTTACTTGTTGGCTGTTATGTTTCATGTGTTGGTTGATATGTTTCATTTGTTGACTGATATAATTTTTGTGTTGACTAATATATTCTTTTTGTTGGCTGATATATTTTTTTTTTTAATTTTTGATAAGTTCCATTTGTTGGCTGATATCAGACATCATTTGACTTATATGATTTTTTAGTTGGCTGATATATTTATTTTGTTGGCTAATATGTATATTTTAATTGTTGACTTATATGTTTCATTTTGTTGGCTGATATGTTAGTTTATTTTGTTGGCTTACCTGTTACTTTTGTTTGCTGATTTCATCCTTTTGTTAGCTGATATGCTTCCTTTTTGGTTGATATGTTCCTTCTGTTGGCTGATAAGTACCTTTTATTGGCTGATATATTCATCTTATTGGCTGATATGTATCTTTTGTTGGCTGATATATTCCTTTGTTGGCTGACATGTTTTTTATTAATGTCTTTAATGTTGACTGATACGAAATATCAATTGGCTGATATATTACTTGTATTAGTTGATATACAAAGTATATACAAGTACAAAATATTTTTATTTCATTCTCTCTCCTCTTTCCCCCTCTTCCTCTCTTTCTCTCTCTCTCCTATTAGCAGA